CTGTCATGTTGTTTTAACCCTTGGAAATGTCTGGACGAAGGGAATAGTTGATCGAATGAATCACGCAGAGTCAGGGACTCAGGGGTACTGCTGTTTGTTATGCGCGTAGTGAAATTGAATCTTAACAAGATAAGTAAAGGAAATACACCAACAGAATTTCCTGTAGTGCCTTGAACTGAAAACTGTTAATATGCAACTGGTAGATAACATAAGTGTCCAGGTAAATAATCTTATTATTGAGATACATAGGTACATTGAATCATACTTAAATTCTACTTCAGAACTCGCACAAGCAGCAAGAGATAGCAGCTTAGTTGTCGCTCCTTTTTGGCTTATCAAAAGCGAGAGTGACCTGTATCAGTTGCAATTTTTCAATTTAAAACCTGGATATATAACTGAACGTAACAAAGATAGTGTTTTGGTCCAGGTTTCCACGGTTACCTGATCATCTGCAGACGGTATCCAGTCATTAGTTGCTGGATTTCCCTGGGAAGAAGCATGATGGGTGAGGTCAAGATCAGGAGCAATGTAGTAAGATTTCCCATTGGCATTCTCCATCTTGATGAATCCTTTTCCTGTCTGTAATACATACACTATATTTATCAGTTGATTATACTACTCTTAAGATTTATCCAACACTAACAAATTTTTTCAATTCCAAATTCAATCTAATATCATCCTTATATAGATCCATCTATTATCTATGTTTATTAAACATAATTTTTCCCCTCGAAAAAACTACATACTTGGATTTCAGAAACATTTTAATTTTAGTATTATCATACAAACGTTCTGAATATTATTTTCCTAATTCACAACTACTTTTAGCTAATAAGTTAACAAGGCTTCATAGGTTTCTTGTCCAAGCTCATAATGAACATGACATAATGGAAAACCATTGCGCGATTTTATGAATTCTCAATAGCAATGAACAAATGAACTCCGCACTTACATACCGTGTGATGTTGCTTATCCACACAATTCAGATCCTTGTAATACTCTGTCTCAACAAACTCCTCACTTGCTTGGCTTTCAATATTGTACTCTTTTTTCTGCAACAAATAGAAAAAAAAATATTGTTAGAATGATTAACATATTTTGTGTATATGTTTGTTGATTACTACTTCATGATATAAGATCAAGTTTGATGAGCACCTCTTGATCATTTTCGAGGCGTTGAAACTCCACATATTCAGGGATCACGGAGGAATCGTTGTTATTAACATCGACATAATTGGTGGAATACTCGCTACGCTGAGGCTTAGTGTGACGCTTAGGAGCTAAGCCATCAAAATACTCCTTGGTTTCTTCCTCTATTTTCGCTTGTTCCTCTTTGCTCAAGTGTGTGTCACTCCTATTTGGCATCCTCGAATACTCCATTTCTCCTCCTTTTTTTCTTATTTCGTTCAAGATTTTTTGATCTTATGATATGAATCGAGCAAAGTTGTTATTGGATAAGGTTTTAGTACGCTTAGAAATGAAGATATTTTCTAAGTTAGTTGGGTTTTGATATTCATTAATTGTAATAATTTCGAAGGGTGTACTAGTGTAAGATATTTTAACGAGTGGCTAAATTTGTCCATTGTTATTTGTTAGGTTGGATAGGGAATTTGTTCTTCATATTCGTCACAATCATTGGTCCCATACCCTGTGGACTCGTTTCTTACTTGCATGGTTGCACACTTGAACCTCAAAATGGGGGCTACTTTAGTCATTTTGTGTTTGCTATTAAAGGCGTTTATGGGATACCTTGAGTAAGCTTATATATCTCCTCCGTTTTAATATATATAGTTGTACTCGTATCATATTACTATTCACACACCCTTTTTTTGCCTATTAATTACGATTTATATACAAGGAAAAATATAATTGTATAGGAATTTGTAACTTCTTAAAGTACTTTTTAAATATCAACTTTTTATAAACTTTTTATAATTTTTACTTACATATGTTGTTGTAGGCACAAAAAATATATATAATTGTCACATCGGATATTATATATAAGTCAAAAGTTAAATTGTTGACTCAATGGTTATTTGACTGTTAATTTAAATTATTTAATTTGGGTGAAATGTATTAAATTAGCCCATTTTATTTAATTTAGTTTAATAGGTTTATTTTGAGGGTTAAAACTTAATAAATGGGTTGATCCATAATAGATGGGTCACGATTACCAAGTCAAAAGCCCAATACAAATATAATCCTAACCCTAGGAGTCACACACTCTATAAATAGAGCTCTCTCTATTTCATTTGGGGAGAGGAGGAAACAAGGAGAATCAAATACAGAGAAAGCCTCTCAAATACTCTAAACCTCTCCAGAGAAAACATCTCAAAACCTAGAAGAACAACAACAAGCATTCGATGTGTCGTTCTACTCTAGAAGATCACCCGTGGAAGAGATCAAGCCTCGATGGCCCTCAACACGAAGGAAAGAAGAACTTCAAATCATCAAGAACATCACTAGTTCAACCTCTACATTAAATAGTCATTGATCGAGATCAACCCTCGTCGACCCTCAATCAAAAATTCAAGTCAAAGATATACATCAACAAGTCAAAGGTCTACATCAACAATAAGTCAAAGTTCTGCATCAACTGTCTTCGATCGTGACCAATCCTCGACGGCCCTCGATCAAGAATCAAGTCAGACCATGAAACAAGTCAAAGTTAAAGTGGAGATCGAATCACTGGAACAAATTAGAGATTGTACCTAAAATTCAAATTACTAAAATTAACATTTTGTTTCATTTATTTTGAATCTACATTTTTGCAGATTTTAAATTTGTATTTACAGTTTTATAAATAAAGATGTTGAGGGTTACAAATGTGTTTTGGGAAGCATTATACAACTCCCCTCATGTTCCAATACTAAAAGAATAAAGGAAGTTTAAATTGATTGCTTCTAATACACAAATGATAAGATTACATATTTAACTTCAAATCTATGCTTTCGGGCACCAAATAGGTCTCCCGAGTTTCTTTGGGAACCTTTAGAAGAAGTGAAGAACCACGATGCATAATCTTGTCATATAAAAAAATGTTCTCGGATAGCCTAATTTAAAGGCTATAATACACGAAATTTGACTAATTTCAAAAATTTTGAGACTCGATGTCAACAACTCACGAAACCGTATGAATCGCATCCTGTAATCATATAATATTGAGTGGATCTTATGTGACCATTAGTTAGTCACGTAAAGGCTCTTGACGACTTTGATTTAGTGGAATGAGGCATATTTGTAAATGGCAAAATTAAAAGTTTAATGGAAAAGTGAAAGGTTCTAGCCACCCAAATGGATACCCGAGGTGTCGTGGGGTCTATGGAAAGCTACCCAACCTCTTATCTTCTCGGGTCCAAAAAGGTAAAAAAAAAAATAAAAACTGAAGACTATAATACACGAAATTAGACCATTTTCGAAGATTTCGAGACACGTCGTCAACAACTCTCGGGATTGTAGGGGATGCAACCCGAGATCATATAATGTTTGTTTGGGACCATATTTGACCAATAGTTGGTCATATAAAGTCTTGTAGTGACCTTGAGTTAATGAAAGGAGACGTGAACGTTAACGGATAAATTGACAGTTTAAAAGAAAAATGGACTTTTCCAAACACCTAAATGATTTCCGGGGTGTCATGGGGTCCATGGAGAGCATTCTGGCCTTTTTCTTTTTCGGGGCCAAAAACATTAAAAATTGTCTAAAATTGAAGGTTATAACCCACACTTTCGGGCCAAATTTAAAAAAAATTCAAAAGTAAAGTAAATGTATGGGGTGTCCCCCGAGGCCTTATTAGTTGGTTTAGAACCATAAATGGCTTATCAATAGGTCTATAAGGTTCCAAGAATGAGTTTACTCTATTTTATTGACTATGTTGTATTTGGTAGTTATGAGCAACAATATGTGTTTATCACCAACTTGTCATCTCGGGGTCTTATTAAGAACTTTAAGGTGTCCTTTGGTTATAATTATTAGAGTGGTTTCATCCCATCTCTTAAATCTAAATTTACCAAAGTCAATGTTAGTCACTTTATATATAAAATTAAACACAATACGAGTAATATAAGTACTTGTTGGAATCATCTCAAATATAGTTTTTTTTTTTTTTTACAATTTAAATAGGTTTTTTATAATTTAAATTTACTAATCAATAAAAATATAATTAGTTAATTTTGTGTCAATCAAATTGTGCAAAATTTCCTAGTCTCTAATAAAACAAGGAACCTTACATAAAAATTTCCACGAGTAGAGGGGACTAGTAAAGTCATTAAGTGATATTCTTATATCTTACTAAAGGCCATTTATTAGTCAATTATAAACTAATTAATTAAATAATCATCAACCTTTAATGGCACAATACTCTAAAAGTACTACACATATATAAACAATTAATACAAGCATATGGGTAATCAACAACTTCGTATAATATTGCCAAAATTTTGTCCCACACCTTATCACCCCATATTCATATTTGTACCTTTAGTTAAAGTCAATAACTTTTTATTAGGTATGGAATTCATTATTGTTTTTACTACAAAAATATTATACTAATAGAGTGATTTTATTGATTAATTTACAAAATTATACTACAAATAGTACATAATTTACAATTTTTGCTTACGGGAATTATACATGAATGTGATAAACTGGAACTTGCTTGAATTAAAGTAAACGTAAGCTAATATAAGCTATTCCTTCCGTTCCATAATATAGTTTATGTTTTCCTATTTTGGAGATTCAAAATGTTGTTGTTGTTTCTATTTTTGGATTGTATGTAAATACCATTATACCCTCACTTTTTTTAACATTATTCATTTTACTTCTTAAATTACCCTTAATTTTGCACATCCCTTATACTTTTTTCCTTCCTCTCTCTAATTTTTGTCTATAATTATACGTTTTACTTTTATTAATATACTTCATCCACTTTTTCTTCCTATTTCTTAAATACCGTAAAAAAACAGTATATAACTCTTCATTTAACTATATAACTATATTATGAAAGAAGAGAGTATATAACTATCCATTTTTTATACTCCTCGAAACCCACAACTTCCCCACTTCACTAGTTCACTCCACCCTCTACTCTGCACACCCATTAACTCTCCTTCATTTTCTCTCTCCTCTTGCTCCTGCTCTTTCTCTTTCTAGAAATGGCAAAGAAGGTGACCAATTTCTCTGATCTGATCCAAAGAGTAACAGCTTCTTGTTTACTCCACCCTTTAGGAAGCAACAGATTTCATAACCAAGTTGATATGACCCCAGATCGATTCTTACACCCCTCAAAAAACCAATTAAAATCAAAGCTCTCAAACCCAGAAAATTACGACGATGAAGATGAACAATGCTACAATAATAACAACAATTCCTCTTCTACCGATGAAGAAGAAGAAAGCGGGGAAATCTTTGAAGATGCAAGAGAAACAGAGGAAGAATTACAGAGTAAAAGGTACAATAATGCTGCAATTTGGGGAAGAGAGGAGAGAGAAAATGATGTTTGGATGATAATGGGGCAAGTGTTTGACTCAATTTCATCGATGAAAAAGGCGTATGCCAAGTTACAAGAGGCGCATAGTCCGTGGGACCCGGAGAAAATGAGGGTGGCGGATGCGGAGGTGGTGGCGGAGCTCCGGCGAATGGGGGTGTTGAGAGAGAGGTTTAAAAGAGGCGGAGATAAAAGGAATGTGGTTGCGAGAGCGGCGGAGACGGTGAGTGAAGTTGTGGCGCCGTATGAGGCGGCGATGGCGGAGTTGAACAAAGAGGTGAAAGCAAAAGAGGTGGAGTTGGAGGAGTTGAGACAAAAGGTGAGTTGTTTGAGTGTTGTTGTGAGTAGTGGAAGTGGTAATGGTAAAAAAAATGGGAGGTCTAATTTGTCTAGTAGAAAGAAAGGTGGTGGTAACTTCATTCTACAACATCAAGGTAAATGATTCTAGTACAACATTTACTTCCTTCGTTTTTATTTACTTCCTTCGTTTTTATTTACTTGCAACGTTTTTATTATTATTTTATGTGAACTATAACGGCTAAGGGAATGTGAATTGGAGAAAAATGCGTACACACTTTTTTATTATACCTTGTTGAAAAAAAGTGACAACCTTTGGTAGGTACTTTGGGGTAGAGGCGTAATGAATGGATTCTTAATTCTGTGCTTGACGTATAGCATGATGCAAAGATTTGTATGAATATTTAGGCCAAATTAGAAGTAATTGTCACTGCACTAAGATAAAAGTTATTAGTTGATGTAGTATACTTTTGTATTGCATGCAATATTTATGAATTAAATGATCAAACAATAGAGGCAAATTATAATCAAGGTAAATTTTCCACATACATTGATCTATTTTAAGGCATAGGAACCAATTGAACAATCTCCGAGATTAGATTGTTTGATCGAATCTCATACGAGGTACGAAGTATGTTTGTATTCTAAAATTACCCGAGATAGGAAAATTGTAGATAAGGTCCTATCTCTATTAGTGATTCGTCACATTCGACTCAACATATCATCTACTATAGACAAAAGTTGTAGAGTGGAGAATATCCTGGATAAATCAAGTCTGTTGAGTAAGAAAGAAGAATCTGAGAGCAATGATGGAGTATAAAGTTGCTGATCTTTCAAAAGGGTTTAATGATCAAAAGTGAAAGCAAGAAAGTCCAATAAGACCAACTTTTTCTTTTCTTTTTTTAATTTTGATTTCCATAATTTAATGCATAATGTAGCTCCAACAAAAAAAGTGTTTTTCTGAAAGGGATTTTCAAAGTTATTTACGTTCTTTCATTTTTGTTGCATATGCAGTTCCAACTTCCCCTACACCAGACATGTTTGAAGTAACATTGAAGCAAGTGAGAGATTCCTCAAAATCTTTCACGTCTTACCTTCTGTCTCTCATGCGCTCTGCTCACTGGGACCTCTCAGCTGCTGTCCGATCCATTGAAGCCGCTATCTCCACCACTGGATCAACCGCCATTACAAGTACCAACCCTCATCAACATCAAACTAAATATGCCCTTGAATCCTATGTCCTCCGCAAGATCTTCCAAGGCTTTGATCATGAAACTTTCTACATGGACGGCACCCTTTTCTCTCTTCTAAACCCTTCCCAGTTCCGGACTGAATGCTTCTCCAAGTTTCGAGATATGAAAGCAATGGACCCTTCGGAGCTGCTTGGTATCTTGCCTAGTTCTCCGTTTGGGGTTTTTTGTAGTAAGAAGTACCAAGATATAGTTCATCCCAAGATGGAAGAATCCCTATTTGCCAATTTGGACCTGAGGAACCAACTTCTGAATGGAACCCATCCGAGAACCCCGTTTTACACTGAGTTCCTTGGGTTAGCCAAGGCAGTTTGGTTGCTCCATTTGCTTGCATTTTCACTTGACCCGCCTCCAAGCCACTTTGAGGCAAGTCGAGGGGCTGAATTTCACCCGGCTTACATGGAGAGCGTAGTGAGGTATCCTGGAGGAAAAGTCCCGCCAGGTCAGGTTGTCGGGTTCCCAGTAAGCCCTGGATTTAAGTTGGGCAATGGTTCTGTAGTCAAAGCTCGGGTTTATCTTGTGCCCAAGAAGTGAATAGTTGATGGGATTTGGGATGTGTGTTGTAACTATAGATTAGTTAGCCTGTAAAATATGGTAGGACTGATTCTGAAGGAATCCTGTTTATTTTTTTCAGCTGTAACTGAGTGGAATTTTGGTTCATCACTTTATCAGAAGAATAAGAGTTGATTTTCTGCCAGATTTTGGTTTTTCTCTATTCAAAAAAACTTGTCTGAAACCAGTGTCGTCGTATTAATAGGTGACTTTTCTATTCATTAAAGGACGACTTGTTATATTATTAAGAGGTAATCCGTTTCTAAGTTTAACCTGGGTCTTATCCAAAACCAATAGCTCCAATGTTCTAATATCAAAACTAGTTTTCAGAAATGCCCACATACGGAGCACATAAATTGTTATACATCAAGTGCTTTTGAAGAATCAAGAACAGGATGTTATAATGAGCAATTCCTTGAAAAATCAATAGCAGTACAAATGGCAAGTGAGGTATGTTATACAAATACATAGAGCATAACAAAAGAATTTGGAGTACATTATAACTATAAGCTGCAAAATTACAAGTAGCACATTACATTAATGGGACTACTGTCAGCACAATGCCACAATGCATACTAATGGGAATTTAACTTGTTCCTTCTTAACTTCTCGCGAGCAGCTGTATAGCTAACAATCTCCCATGAAAATCAAGGGGGCAGCTGAAAAACTCGTTGAAGTAATTTTTGCATTTCTTGGCATGGCTGTGTCGATGATGAAGAAAAATGGAGGTAGTACTGCGCGTAGTCACCTACCCCCGCAATATCTTCTTGACCTGTATCACGCAGAAATGCAAAATGATAAGAAAGTAACTCCTCTGGGCGACTTCAAAGGTCAAAAGGTTTCAATCTGATACATTTTTAAGTTCTTTTATGAATCAGACAATACCAAGCTGAGGCATATTTGTGTGACTGGAAGTCTGAACTTATTTGACAACAAAGCATACTACAAACCTATTTTCTACGTTCTTCAACTAACTCATGGTAGAAAAACAAATTTAAGCAATTCATTCACATAGATTTCAAATATGCAACTTTCAGGATGGATACATGCTGAGTCACTTCCACTTCCCCTTTAATCACCTATGCATGTAAGCAACTTATAAAAAAAAATAAAAACAAACAAACAATCACATGTGCTGATGTGCATAACAGACCCAGTATGTTTAATAGTGACTTTGTCAAAATTGCTTCAAGGATAAGGATTTAAGATCCAAATAAAGATCAATAGCTGGAAAAATGGTAATTTCATCAAAATGGAATTTCATCAAAATGGAATTTCCTACAGTATAAGAATACTCCAGTAGGGAAGTAGGTGTGATGCTGTAGGGTACGACTATGGAGGAAGATAGACATAAGAAAGAGTGATAAATTACTACCAAAACATACCAAGTGCACACTCCACATTAACTTCATAGTTTTTAGTGCTTATAGATTAGGATAATACTTGCAAAAAAGTACCAAAAAATAGCTTTAAAAGTATTTTGCTTTTAGAATTTAGGGGAGGTATCTGCAAAAGTTTTGCATAATAATAGCTACAACATAAAGCAAATAAGTAACCAGACCAGTGCTCAAAAGAGAAGAACCCATTGTCATAAGAAAGAAATGGGGGAGAGAAATCTAGAGAATAGACCAGAACTGAATAAAAGAAAAGGCAAGTGCAAACGATCATAACTCGAACAAATGAAGCAAATACATAAAACAGGCACTAAAAGATAGTCTTACTTGTTCCAATGTCAAAAACATGATCACATTCCATGATCCTAATCTGCCAAAATTTGGGAGAAATCCTTTATAAAATGCAATTGGTCCCTGCATAATAATAAATTAAGACTGTAAATACCAGATGAGTCACAACTAAATGAAGAAGTTGCTACAGAGCCATATGTCACCGCCTTATTGCAGAAACAGCATAACTAATAATGAAGAGGAAAATCAAACCTAAAAACTTGTCACCATAATATTTTTTTTTCCCTCTTAAGTATATACTATGGTACCATATGGAAATTCAAAGAGTATTATGTACCTCAGTTTTCAGCGTCTTGACAAAACAATCAACCGCGCTTCTATATGTTGAATCTCCCATCATTCTAGATTTTACCTGGAAACAACAAACAACCTTTTAATAAGAAAAGCAGACAATCCATGCTGATATAGAGTGACTAGCCCATAAGGCCATCAGGTATGTTAAGTCATCATAATATCTAAATAGAACTTCACTATAGAATGCAGTAAGTTTTTATGTATATCAAATATGCATATTATCAAATGATGTGAAATTCATATGAGGAAAATCATTTACACCATGATGTTAAAAAAAAAAAAAAGGGATAATTTTGTGAATGGATTTACTTTGCTGCACAAATTATGTAATTCGACTACTACTGTTCTGTAACCTATTATACTTCGGTGTACTCCCACAATCACTTTGGCACATATTTTGTAGAGCTAGTTTTACATTTGTAATTACAGTCGGAAGTTCGAGACTATCATAATTCATAGTGTAAGTGTGTAACACTTACCATCTAATTAGTTCATCAATTAGATGAAATTATCAGAGCCCGACTAATAATCTCAAAACAGTATCATTTCAAATAGAAAAAATTACTTAGTGCAGGCGCCAAGAAAGCTCACCACATCCACGGGAGATCCAATGCAGACTGCAAAAAACCCTGCACCTAAACCAGCCAGGATGTGAGTAAGTGCATTATCTGTGAATCCTGGGATCGCCAATATAGTCTGCATATGCATAAAACTATAAGAGAACAGTGCAGAAGAAGAAATCTCAAGTTGCTAAACCTAAAGTTGCTAAACCTAAGATGACAATGTGAACTTACCAGTTTCACTTGATCATAACTGGCTAGTTCAGCAGCATTTATGATTGCATTTCTGGCAATGTTGGGTCCAAGCCCAGTCCATAGCGCCGAAAGCCCTTCCTAGTAGCATAAGATTCATTGATCAGGCCGGAGTCCAAAATAAATATGAGAAGTAATCTCTCTCAGGGAATTACCTGTCTTATTATGGAACTATAAGCATCCAGGGCTCCTGAATAACGCCTAGGCACTCCAGGTGGCAATTTTCCTTCAGCCTGAAGTCGAATTTTAACAAGATCAGTTGGATTGGCAATAATTATTGCAATTGCACCTGTTCAAAAGATAAATTGCCAGCTAGATAGTTAGAAAATGAAAATATCATTAGTTTAGCAAAGATTCATTTATAATTTTTTGAACACAATTAAAAAGTGGTTTAAGAAGCTTGGATGACTGATAAATAACTGACCAGTTAAGAGAGCAGCTAGTATATTTTGGATTAGAGGGAAATCTCCAAAGAGATAAGATCCAATAATAAACATCTTGAACTGCAGGATGGGAGGATGAAAGATGCATCAATTTATGATAGATAAAGGTAAAGAACATGACATATAAGAAAATATATCTCAAACTCACAGGTTCATACAGGCCAATCCTCAAGCCTCCATAGAGACATTGGCGATGCAACCCTGGCACAATACCCTTCCAGAGAGCAGGCAAACCCTCTTCCCCTGCAATAGTCGCTATAGTACCCAACATGCCTTTATATCTGGCTGAAACAGCTCCATCAGCTGAAGAAGCTTTCCTTTGGAGTTGAAGCCTCACTTTAGCAGTGTCTAATGGCAACGTACAAAACTGCAGATTAGTCCAATCACACCAAAAAATACAAAATTAGTAGAAAACTCAGCATACCATCTCAGTATGCCTTGAATATGGTTAGGGTTATTCAGTTGAAGTGTCTAAAGGAAACAATTTCTTTCAATTGCAAGGGTAACACATCTTAATATCAGCCCACCCCTCATTCCAGATACTCACTTAGGTAGAAGTCTCGATAGAGGCATTCTTACAGTGGTGTGTGATGAAGGACCCCTACGTGCCATCCCTACAGTGGTGAGTGGTGAAGGACCCACACGTGCCACCTCTACAGTGATGTTCAACATATTTAATTCAGTTGATTTTTGTTTTGCCATGACTGACACATTTCACAAAGAATGCAACATGTTTTGGTTACACTACTCCCTTACAACCCAAATTTCAGCATTCTGATTTTTAAGTAATGAATAAGTGACACTCACAGACAGATTAAAGTAGCTCAAGCCATCAAGCTAAATCATAACAGAAAACATACAGCTAGGATAAAATGCAGTAGCGAAGAGATGCTCCTATAAAATCAACAGTCTCAAGCATCTCATTTTCTCAAATCTCAATCACCCAATTGGCTAAATAAACCTATATTCAATATCACATCCTGTGTTACTCGAACTCTTCATTTCATATCCGTAATTGTGTTCAATAATAGACATAGTGACATGGGTATTGAGACTTGAGGCATTCCAGACCAAAAATAACCAAAAATTAACCTCAACCGACACTGGTAACTTTGAGTAACATAGATCACAGATGATCACAAATGAAATTCTCCGCATTAATTTTCACAGCAACAGAAAACTATTAAGTTATTAACATCCACAGCAACCCAAACCATGATACACCCTTAATTCACTTCATTAAACACAAAACAATGGAAAATTGTCGCATTTAATACAACTTAAAACCTTCTAAATCAACCATAAAGCAAGAAAACAACAAAGAATATTACTCAAATCACCACACTAAAAATAGACACCATTTTTCCACAACAAAAATATATAATTTATTAAAAAAAAAGTGGATAAAAAATGGTGAATTTCTGAATTACCTCAGCAAAGCAAGCAGCAATAGCACTGCTAACAAAAGTCCCGGCAAAAGAGATCTCGGTTTGATAACCGAGACCCGGCATTGCAAATCAAAGGAAAATGGTCTGAAAATCAAAACCCAGAATTTTTTGTTGAAATTTAATAACTGGGAGATAGTGATTAGTGAGATTTGTGGGAAACTGGGAATGAGATGTGGAAATCGGAGAAATTGGCCCCTTTTTTTTGCTACTTAATTTGCTTTTTTATATTTAGTGGTTCTCTTCATGTAACTGCTAAATTGAGAAAATGACAGGAAATTGTTCGCTGTTAATGTGGGGGCAGAATGGCAGATTGTAGTTGAGTGCATCTGGGTTCATTTTTGTTAATCGGGAAGAGGTGTTTCGGTTAAAAAAATTTGAGTAGAGCATTTTACCCTTCTAAACAATTTTTTTAGTTAACCAAAAAAAACTAACTTAAGTTGGAATTAATATCTCACAAAGTTGCACCTTAAATTTTCCTCAAAAAAAAGAAAAAAAAAAGTTGTACCTTAAATTTGTGGGGGTTCATGGAAAATATCCCAACTTTTTATATTATTGGGTCCAAAATGGCTGGATATTATCCAAAAATTGAACGCTAATTCACAAATTGGATCAATTTTAAAGACTTTGGGAAAAATCGATAGTTTCCACCACCCAAATGGCCTTTTGGGGCATTATGGGGTCCATGGCTAGCAGTCTAGCACCTTGACCTTTTCCCTTTCCAGGCCAACAAGGTTGAAACTTGTCCAAAAATCGAAGGTTAAACACACTTTCAGGCCAATTTAAATTCCCATAATTAAAGTCATACGTGGGATGTCTAATATAATATATATACACTACCAATAGCTATATAAAATCTCAGTAATGAGTTTGGTCAATTTGTAGAATTATGTTGTATTGGTAATCTAGTGCTACAAGAGAAGTTTGTATCACCAACTTGACATCAAGTTGTCTTCAATGCATATTTTTAAGCTTCTAGCCTTGAGATATTGGATATATCTTTAATTCAATAGAATATTACAATCCTTCTAAGCTTGAGATGGTTCAAAGCACCACTTAGGCCTCAAGGCATCTCCAGGTATGATGGTGAAGGCCGAAGGGTGAACCAAGATATGAATGAGATGGCTTCATGCATGAAGTAGGCTCATAAAATCTCTAGAAGCACCTCAATGCATAAACTTGACATGTAAAAAAAAAAAAAAAAAAAAAATTGTCCAAACTCCCAAAGACAAAGGCTATAATACATGAAATCGGATTAATTTTATATCTTCGTCGGGACACAATGTCGAAGTCTCATAGTACCGTAGGAGATGCATCCCCCGATCATAAAGTGTTGTTTGGAATCCCATACATATAGCCATTAGTTGGTCACATAAGGACCCATGACAACTGATAGTTAGTGAAATGAGGCGAGTTTGTAAATGATCGGACAAACAATCAAAAGGAAAAGTGGATTGTATTAACCACCAAAACGCAACGTATTAGAGCAAGATTAGCCCTATCTGGTCTTAAGATTTTAATTCATTGCCACATCATATTTTATATTAAATTAATTATTTTTTAAAATTTTTAATTATGTTAAGACTCAATTAGATTTATCTCTTCATTCCTCATACTTAATTTAGATTTCTTTAAAATATTTATTTTTTTTTTTTTCCATTTAACATATATATTTCAATATTTTTTTTTTTTGAAATACATATATATTTTTAATATGAATATTCACACTGGTGTTACAAATTTCTAATCCAATTTGAGAAATGAGAATATGAGAAAGTCAGTTAGAAACTACCACGTGTCCCTTATAAAGTGCAAAGTACATAAGAAAGGAATATTTGCTTTTTAAAATATTAGGAAGTGGGACATGTGCCAACTTTTAAGTGGTTTTCTCATATTCTCATTCTAACAATTCCCTATATATATATTAAAAATAATTTTTGTATAAAAAAAAATTAAAAAACAACATACATATAATTTTTTTTTGAAACAACGTACATATATACAATTTTTTTTGGAAGAAATGTAAATAGATTTTAATGTATTTAAAAAATATATTTTTTTCATTTTTCTTTTAATATCAAAACACAGTGTTTTGATGTATATATAGGAAAAACACTGTGTATAGAGTGTAGAGTTGAGTCTTGAGTTTTCAAGACTCCACTTCAGATCTTGTTAAAACTTAGCTTATTAAATGCATAAAAAAATACAAAGTCTCGTCTTAAGACCAAAAAACTTTAAAAATGATGATGTCATACTAAGTCTTAAGACTTAGGGCTAATCTTACTCTTACTTTGGTGTCGTGGAATCCATGGAAACAACCCGACCTTTTTATTCTTTGGGCTTGAAAAAGTAAAAACTTGTTCATAATTACAGGTTATCCACGCATTAGGCCAATTTAGATTATAGAAAATTTCCAAAATTGAAGTCAATGTATGGGGAATCTCCCAAGGTCATAAATTGGTTTAAAAGTTGAAACCCACCATAAATTGGTTATTAATAGCTCTACAAAGTCCCAAAAATAAATTTGGTCTATTTTTGGAATTATGTTGCACTGGTTACCAAGAGCTGCAATAGATGATTGTTCATGTCACCACCTCGCATCAAGTAGGCCTCAAGGCACATTGTAAGCTTATAACCTTGGGATTCTTTGAGATAATTGGTATATCCTTAATGTCAAAAATTACATTAATCTTTAAGCTTGAGATGATTATGGGAACCAAGTAGGCCTGAATAGTGGATCAAGGCATGAATTGGACGATTACAAGCACTAAGTAGTCCTCTCGAGTTTATTTGATTGGAAATCCTAGAAGCACTTTGAGTCTTCAATGCATAGTCTTGTCAAATCAAAAATTATTATCTGAAAGACCAATTTAACGGTTATATTATAAGAAATCGAACCAATTTCAAAGATTTCGGGACTCGATGTCGTAAACTCATGAGTCATGAGATTGCAAGAATCGTATTTCAAAACTATAACACTTTGTCGATCACATAAAAACCATGATACCTTTTTTGATGCAATAAAGGCCCGTGGTAAATTAGTCAGTGAAATTTTGAGATTTCCTCGTTAAATAAGCCAAACCATTAAACCCCATTCAAAATTTGTGACAATTTAGCGTCCACAAGACACAATTCATTGCGCGGGAAACAAAAGCACGAAATTTCCAAAAATCCCGCCAATACCCTTTCTCTTTTTCCAAAATTCAAATTATACCCTCTCTTTCCTCATCCCTATAAATATCCCTTTATCGGTTTCACGGGTCCAGAACTGAACCCGACCCGAATCCACCCGACTCTTCCTCCTCTTCTTCCCTCTTTCCCTCTTTTTCTCCCATTTCAAACCCTAATTTCATCTCAAACCCTAAATCCCAAAAAAATGTTGGAATTACGATTAGTTCAAGGAAGTCTTCTGAAGAAGGTAATTGAATCGATCAAAGATTTGGTGACTGATGCCAACTTTGATTGTTCAGCGACTGGTTTCTCTCTCCAAGCTATGGATTCAAGCCATGTCGCACTCGTCGCACTTTTGCTACGAGCTGAGGGTTTCGAGCATTACAGGTGCGACAGGAATATCTCAATGGGGATGAATCTTACTAACATGTCTAAAATGCTTAAGTGTTCTGGAAATGATGATATTATCACTATTAAAGCTGATGATGGAAGTGATACTGTTACTTTCATGTTTGAAAGCCCCAGTAAGTTTCTCGCTCTTCCCCTTTTTTCGTTTTGGAATTTTGGTTTTCGCTATTTAGGGTTTGATTTCGCTAGTTAGGGTTTATTTGGCGGCTTGATGTTGAAAATGGATTTGGGTTTTTGATTCTTGAGATATTTGATAAAAATGTGTAGAGATTTGTTGGGAATTGTTGTTAAATTAATGAGGATTTGTGTTTTTATGGGTTAAGATAATAGTTTATGTTTGAATTGAAATTTGGGAGATGTTGAGCATGTTTAATTGTTGAGATTAGTTGAGGATAATGTGTGTCATTTTGTGGTGTTCTTGATGCGTGTAATTCTTGTGATTTGTAGTATTACATTGTTTTGACTAGTAAATTTAGGTAGTTCCTGGTAGAAATTATTGAATCCTCTTAGATTGGGGTGAAAATGTTAGTTATTAATATGGAATTGAGGTAAAACTTGGGAGGAATGATGATTGATGATCGATTAGCAACTTTTGAAATCTTGTAGTATCATAGACTAAAAGAATTGTGAACTTTGGTAACATTTGAGACTCACAAATACTAGCGTCTTCCGGATTTAGTTGATAGACTATTAGTTTAAATTACATTATCATCGTGAACAACACTCTTAATGGAGGGAGGATTTAGATATTTGGTAAGATATTGTCTTGTTTACTAGATATTGAGGTCAGCGAACACTCTGAGTTGACCAACTTTTGCTGGAAAATTGAATGCTCCTTAAGCAGCCTTTAAGGATGTACAAATAACCAACCAACATGATTTTTGAAATCGTGTTCATGTCCTAAATTTTGTGGTTTATGAGATGGACAACTTGCACGGGTGTGAGGTAGCTTATATACCTATGTTGAGGTATGGGCGTGACCATGTATTCAAGTCTCCTCTAGAAATGAAATAGTGATGCATCGGGTGTCCAATAGCAGAAATGTAGTTGTCAATCTGTCAAATTTGTTCATTAACAAGTTTGATTATGCTGATATTGGTTGTTATTCACTGTCTGTAATCATGTCAGACCAGGATAAAATTGCTGATTTTGAGATGAAGCTGATGGACATTGACAGCGAGCATCTTGGAATTCCTGAAGCTGAATACCATGCCATTGTGAGAATGCCTTCAGCTGAATTTGCCAGAATTTGTAAAGATTTGAGCAGTATTGGTGACACAGGTAGTGTTTCATTCCCATGGTTTTGTCCTTTTCCTGCACTTTGCAGGGATTGTATGTTGTTCTCTTCATCTCGATAATTAATCTCTTGATTTGTGAATTGCTGCAGTTGTAATCTCTGTTACCAAAGAAGGTGTTAAGTTTTCCACGAGAGGTGACATTGGAGCTGCAAACATCGTCTGCAGACAGAACACAACAGTTGACAAGGTATAATCCTATGAAATTGATGGAACAGCATCTAGGAGCTGTGAAACATGATAACTTGTGTTCTGGTTGATCTTTCTGTTTTCTCATTTAATGTTTTGATTGCAGCCTGAAGAAGCCACAGTTATAGAGATGAACGAGCCTGTGAATTTGACCTTTGCACTGCGATACATGAACTCTTTTACCAAGGCAACACCCCTCTCGAACACTGTCACACTCAGTTTGTCTTCAGAGCTTCCTGTCGTGGTTGAATACAAGATTGCAGAGATGGGTTACATTCGGTTCTACTTGGCTCCCAAGATTGAAGAAGATGAGAATGAATAATGAAGTTAGAATATCTAGTCTTCTACCTGTTGCTTCTTGCTGTAAGGCTTGCCTTTAATCTAGGTTAATGTTTGATTTTTACCAGGATGTTCTCATGCGTTATCTTGCCTGAATTTGTTAAAGCTCTGAAGACTAGTAAGCTTTATTGCTGTTAATTACTATCTCCAATTAGGCAGTTAGAATGCTTGTTGCTCAATTCTGTTTAGGAGGTCTAGATTTACTTTTTCGTTAGTAGTGTATGTATTGATTTTTTTTTCAAAGCTTTATAATGTTATACTCCCTCTATTCCTATTTTCCTACTCAATTATCTACTACGTATAAGACTATCGAGTATACTATTAAATAATTACTACATTATTTACTACAACCCATTATATACATGTAAAAAAAGTGGTGAGTGAAAATCCATGAACCCTTGTTTGTGTGTTTTTCTACACAATATTATCACTGGTATTCATATTATCAGTCTTTAACTAAAATGATAATGAAAGGAAACAAATTTATTGATGGTGGGTTAGTACCAATGTACCGTGAACATAGACTTTGACAATGAGAATTTTCTAACAAATTACTAGTAGAAAAGTAATAACTAAGGAGTACTAAGTTGTCAGAACTGGAAGGATTGAAGGAGACTATAGATTTAACGCGTAAAATTCATGATGTACTCTTTAGTCAATGCTTTTCCATAGGCAACAAGATTGCCTTTGAAAATTCATCATTGTAAATGTAAAGTGACCCAAAACAATATTTGTATATTGATGACAACATAGTCATTTGGCATGGATTAATTTGGTTTGGATGATCATTGAAATAATGAAATTATACAATTGGTTTGAGATCCATATCTGTTGATGGGTCATATTACTTGTATATAACATGGAAAATTAATCAATTTTATTTACTTTTTTGGAGGGTCGGAAGTATTTCAAGTCAAATAAAACATAATGGTTTGGTACAATTTGGATATGAACCAACTATTTAGCTCAAGTAATTGAGTTTCTTTAGTACAAAGTATATGGTAGAACACTACGACTCTACGGGATGATAGAGCCAGATGGTAGAAATGGATAAAAGAGGCAAATTAAGCTTCCAATATTTGCCACAATTCAGTCAGTTGAACCTAGCATCCGAGTGACTCTTAGATAAGATAGTATGTTCTTCAATCTTCCACTCGTGTGATTCGAGTTCAATTCTAAATATCTTACCGAGAAGGTTGGCAGTCAAGGGAAAGCTTGATTGCTTGAAGCTGTCATGAAACTTGAAAGAGGGCAGTCCAGTAGAATTCATGCTCCTTAAGATTCATATTAAGGGGAAAAAAAAAAAAAAAAAACAAAACCCCACCAAATTCCAACGTCTGATCTTCTGCCTTTACAATGACGTGAAGTTCATGCTTCACTTACCTAATTTTATGCAACTTCTTGTGGAAATTCTAGTGCATGTCATTTTAGCTGATGGAAATCCATGCCTTAATTTACGGGAATGTCCGAAAGTCTTTCATCACCTTTCTGCGTGCTTTAAGGTGGTGGCAAGGTGGATGAACTTTCCATTTCTTCCAAATGATATTAAATTTTCATCCAAAAATTACAAAATAAATTCCGGATCACCATTACAAAATCACACTGGTTTTTGGCGAGAACAACAGGAGACGAAATTAGCACATCGCAGTCAAAATGGAAGAGTGTCGGATAGTTACTGATATGCAAACTGAATTTAACAAGCAATATCTTGAATTCAACTTTACACGACAAAAATAATTTCTCTATAAATAATTGAAAAGTTTATGAATTTCCAAACAAATTGAACTTACGAGAGCACTGTGACTATGAATATCCAATATTTTGACCTAAATAAATTACTAAATATTATTACAATGACGGTAACTAAAAATGGAACAAATTCTAATTGAAGTCATGATCTCTTGATGCTGGTCTGCTTAACAAAACAGTTCCATCTTGGGCCTTCAGGTTGGTGGACTAGGAAGTTGCCTGCAAAGGTCTGAACTTTCACCTCAAAATCTGAAATTGAAGACTACATCATGGCTGGGCTAAATCTAATGAACTACAGATGAGTATGCGAGAAGAGTCTTATTTGCTGCGCTTTTTGGCTTCGCTATAGAGAACAACCCCTATTACAGTAAGACAGTAACCGAGCATTCCGGTCACTGATACAGGGTTCCTAAATATTAAAATTGAGATAACAACAGCAACAGCTCCCTTGGCATTTCCCAAAACCTGGACGAAGAAGAAAGTATATTTAGACCACAAACATCAAACAAAAGTTGTAAACCCTAATTAAGGGGAGATAGTTCTATGGTATTATATGTGATTTCATAAGTTGTGTTCTTTAGCTTCATTATGCGAACTATTACACCGGATAATACATTTAGTGACACAAACCTAAACAAAATTCTCTTTGATATCTATTTGCATTTTGCAGTATCTTCTCAGGGATCAGTATTCTATAATAAACCCAAGTCTACATGCTACAGCCAGGCTGATAATTATGTATATGCAGAACTTCATTCCAAACCATACAAATATACAATAGATAAACGGTCATCACTCTTCAGTCTTAAATCAAAATTTAACTCTTGAATCATGTACAGAGATCATAGTTCCATTTTGGCATTACAAATGTTGGTGCAAATATAATAGTCTGCATTGGTATAATGTAATGATTTGAGAGTATGGTAATGACACTTGTACGCCATTTAGTGTAAGAATGTCACATATGGATTCTCCACCGCGAATCATTAGTGTTTCTTTAATAGCTTCTATTAACACTCACATTCATACGAAGGGGTTAAATCAGTGATAAGAGATTATATGCAAAATATCATAATATGATCTAGTGGCTTAATACAGAAATCCATTTCAGACATTCTATGAACTTATAGATTAAGGGGTCATTTGGTTCATTTAACTGGAATGGATTTGTATGAAATCTCAAACTAGAGGATTCTAAACCCCATACTAGCCTCAACTTGTTTGGTTCAATTTTTGGATTGCTTTTTACATTTCATTAAAGGTATGGATTATGAATCTTAGGGGGTGAGGTTGGTATGGGATTGTAGGGGGATGGAATGGAATTAGAACCCTTTTGGTATAAGATTCCATTCCTAAAATGTCTAACCAAACAATAAAATGGATAGAACGGACTCAAACTCCATTCCAAAAGGTCCAACCAAAAGTCAATACAAAATTTGCATAATTCCTTATTATTATCATATACACATATTTCCTAATAGAGAAGGGAGTATGAATATGTTTAACAAAAAAAAAAAAAAAAGAAGGGTCTGTGAATGTGTGCAACAAAAGGAGGGGGGTGGGGGGGTGGGCTGTGAATGTGTGCAACAAAATAAGGTCTGTGAAAGTGTACAACAAAAAAGAAGGGTCTGTAATGTGTCACAGCTCAACATTAACATAAATTTTGACAAAAAGCGATAAGTAGAAAAAAGTCCACTGCTGGTGTAGAACAGAATAGGTTTCCGGAATACCTGGAGAGTCAATGCACTCGTGTGGTTGGTCACCAGAAAGTTGGTCAAATTCACAAAGTAGGCAAGTGCAGAATTGAAGAGCAGATACCAAACAATGCTGAGATCCTCTCTTGCAAGAGCTACAGTGATCCCAACTACATTTTCCTCCATTATCAATGCCGCTGGAATAAGGCAGACAACAGCTATAGGAGCCATGTACATGAGAAGATTCATAGAATTGAGCTTCTCCCTGTTAAATGAAATGATAATCAATCATCACAGCTTCCTCTACACTAATATGAGAAAAGCATAACTCTATAACCCGCGAATTCGCAGGAAAATTGTCCTTACCCTTCGGATGACAATAAGATTCCTTGAAGCACTGTCTTAAGTGCTCGTGCAGCAGTTGCTCCAATGCACATTATAAATCCAAACAAATTAAACAATGGCTCTCCCTACAGACAAGCATCAAATTACCAATATAAGCAACCAAAAAATCAGCATCAAGGAAATGCAACTTGCATAAAAGATTCAAAAGTCCCCACTTTATATCAGCCTCATGGTACCACTTTATAACAGTCACTATAAGAAACAAACGAGGGTTGCCAGCACTTCCATTATTTCGAAAGCTAAAACTCCTATCAAATTTGCTTTCATCTTCATTTATAGAGAAACCCACCTATCAATTTTTCTCCTTCCATTATATCTAAGTAACAACACAAGTCAAAATATTTGGAAATTTTCGAAAACTGCCTCTTAACAGTTTCCAACAACTTAGATGTAACATCGCGTGTATATAGATTCGTCACAATAACCCCATATAGATGGGATCAAAATGTCGTTGCAGCTGATGTTTAAGTGTTTTACCCCCGCACAAGCATTGAACACAAATAAGGAGCCATTCCTAATTTCATAACCACATTTCTCAGGGGAGGGAAAAGATCATCGAAACACCATCTTCAACTATATGTATTTTTTTAAAAACCCATTTCAACCACATAAAAGTTTCTCGTCTACTACTAATCACTAATCCCTAATCACCGACATTCGAAAATCCAGCTGATTCATCATATATACAAGTGGATCCAATTCATTATAAATATAAAAAATTATAAAAGGTCAAGCAATCACTATATCCAAAATCTAAAGGATATTCCTCACTAATCCAAGAATCAAATCAGCTATCACTTATTGCAACAAATATAATAATATAATAATCTTAATCTTACCATCCAAATTCCTGGATAATTGATTAATTAATCACCCATTTTTATAAAATTTCTTCAAAAAATAATTAAATCAACAGCTTCATATATTAATCAAATACTCATACCAAAAAAAAAATTAAGAAAGAGATTGATACATACCCCACTGGCAATGATGACACCAGTAACAACAGGAATAAGAGTGACATAAGTGAGCCAAGATTCCCTCTTGAAGGTCATCAAATAAGCAAAAATGGCGGTGAAAAACGGCGTGGTAGCACCGACAGCCTGATTGAAGGAGACAGGGAGATAGCGAAGAGAGATGTTACCGCTAACGACGGAGGCGCAGAAGATGGCGGAAAGAGCGGCGATCTTCGCAAATTGAACACGAGATCGAACAGTTTGCATCGGAACAACCTTCAACCAAACAATGGCGATGTAACTGAAGAGAGAACAAGCTGTCATATGACACATTGTAAGGAAAATTGGGTATTTGAATCCATAATTGCTCAACAAATACTTGTTTAATAGGATTACGCCGATGTTTGAGGAGTACCAGAAGGTAATTAATCCGATCGTGAAGAGTTTTCCGGTGGGTTTCATTTCAATCGGATTTGAATGTATTGAATCGATTCGATTTAATCTGGTGAGAAATTTGTATGGGGGTGTTTGATTTGGTGAAATAAAATTAGGGTTTTTTCATTGATTAGGGGAAGATGAGAAATGTGAAGAAGAGAGAAGAAAGAGGAAGAAATTAGGGTTGGAGGAGAGAGAAAGAAGTTGGGAAAAAGGGAGCTTTAATGGCGGAAGAGGTGGAGTAGCAGGAGAAGATGATGATGAAGAGAAGAGAAGAGAAAAGAGGACAAATAAGGCGCCAGCTTCAGTGTGTTGAAGGACTAGTCTTTCCTCTCATTTTCTCCTCCTATATAAATATCGCTACTACGGACTAATAAATATTTATACTGTACAAGGAATTTTTTTTTTTTTTTTTAAAAATAAATTTATTTTATTATTATTAATACGTGTATATGTCATTATAGAGGTGTAAATTCGACGGTTAGATAGGATTCGGTAGTGTCGGGTCGGGTCAAGTCCGGAGTTGTGTCATGTTAATTCATTTTACACATATAAGTCGAAATATGAATTAGGTAACTTTCGGCTTTTCGGGTAGAGTGTAGGACCAGGTTAATTGGGTGAGTTTTTGACATGATTGTTATGTATATAAATGACAGATACTACATTACAAAAAAAAACTAAAAAAATTATGGTTGATATAGGCGATATTGCGATATACTTATTTTCACAAGATACCAACATAATTGTTTTAAGGCTTTAATTAGTTTTAGTGCGGGTGATATCATGATTTGATGAGTGATATGTACTACGTATGTTTTATCATTAAAAAATTTCATTTTAATATAGTACATACGAAGTATGGTGACAGATGTAATCATTTAAAATATATAGCATTAGCATACACTAGAATTAATTCCTTTGCTTTTATAGTGAGAGGTTATATGTTCGAGTTTTGATTAAGACATTCTTGATCATTTGAGTTATGCTTGGTTAAAGATGATGTGACGACATGCATAGAGATATTATTTTTTGTCTACATACATTTAACCTTTGGAAAATTCTTTAATACTTGTATAGTTGTATTGTTTTAGTATAATAACATTCAAACAAATTTGATAAGAATCCTCATTATTATGTTTTTACAACTTATATACTCTGTATTTAAAGAAAATGTTAAGTAAATCACCATTTATTTAATTAAATTGATCACATGAATAATAAAAAGAAAATTCTGTATTTCTGGAATTGAGGTATATGGAAGCATGAGACATATGTGTTTGAGTATAAAAAGACATAATACAAAATATCATATATGTATGAGTTTTTTTTGTTTTTGTTTTTTTTTTACAAAATATATGTATGTGTTGAAGAGAGCATAATCACGTGTTAATTTTATAATTTTTAATTTTTATAAAAACGTGTATGAGTTAAATTCTCCAAATATTTCCAAAACCTATACCTTAATCATTTCATGTTCCGTATCTAAAAAAATTGACCTGTATAATTTATGGGCATTTATATATAAATTACCAAGTTTGAGCTTTATAAAACAATGGGCAAACTTTAATTTAGCAATATAATAAAGAGGAGAAAAATATACACCTTTGCTGCATAGCAAAGAGTCAAACTGATTATTCCATAATAATTTATTTCTATACTTGCTAAACAAAGAACACTATGAAGCTGAAAGACTCTGCAAAGTGGCCAAGACTTCAAAAGACGTTCATTAAGAAATACTCTTAAACTCTGATGACTTTACTTTGATGAAACTGATATTATAGGATGTGCTTCGTCGTGTAATTATGGTATGTCGATGACTTGATGCTATAGCTTTAGGAGAAAACAATACCCGAAAAGAAAAAAATAAAAAGGCAGCTAATTAACATACACAAGTCAGGGTAAGACTGATTTTCTGAAATTAAGGGTAGCAAATGTTTTCACATCAACAGCATGATGGAAAAAGTAATTTACAATGTCGTAAAATTGTAAGACATAAGGTAAAAATGCATCTCATTAACAGATCATTTCATTTGGCACTCAAAACGATTTGATCATCTTGCTACCCCCTATATGCTTAAGAGGAAAAAAAAAAACATATGCGGAAAAACTCTGACAAAAAAAATGCAGGGCTACTATATGCTTACAAAACCAGTATTTGGACACACAACAAAGGATCAAGTATGAGTTTAAGATGGTCAAGAAACCCTCCATCCTTCACCAGCAAAGTTGGCTTGGTCGCCAAGTTCTTCTTCAATCCGGAGCAACTGCAAGGAAATTTAAACTTTTATATAAATAGTAAAAATGCAATCTGGCATTTCAACATAATGCTTCCCAGTATTACTACACATGTAACCCACCATTTACGCGCAAATTATCTGGGAAAAGATAGAGAAATTAACCAAATATGAATCCTCCCAATATCATATTACTATTAGCTACAAGCCTACAACGTTCATATACAGGCCTACAACGTTCAAATACAGGTCTTAGAAGTTATGTTTAAGACGTAACGGTAACTAAAAAAGACAAACCTGATTATACTTGCATAGGCGCTCCCCTCTGCAAGGTGCCCCAGCTTTGATCTGACCAGTAGCAAGGCCAACAGATAGATCGGCAATGAAAGTTTCCTCAGTTTCACCACTCCTATGAGCTACTATAACTCCCCAGTGAGCATCTTTAGCCATCTTGACAGCATCAATGGCTTCTGTGACGGTCCCAATCTGATTTATCTGAAAATGCCACTCTGTTATAAGTTTGATGATTTACAAGATAAATACAGATAGTATTAGACTATAAAGGAGCAAAGGACTAATATTTCAGATAACTAGATAAGTTTTGCCACTTCAAGTATGTTAAACACAGGTTTCTCTTGCTTTTGAATTGTCAAAACTAGATTATTTTTATACAGCAGTAACTAAGCTGAGCTGGATGATTAATCATCCACAGCTTCATATGCAGAGATTGCAGACATGTTTTGGAGCCATACATCAGGGCTGTCAGGCTATAGGTAAGAAGGGCAATATTTTAGTAAATCCAATAAAATCATTCTGTCAGAAAATTGCCTTTTGTTTTACTCCAGCAGCAAAATCAAAACAATGGTGAGACCAAGAGAGAATTTGAAAAATGAAAATCCACTAATGCCACCATAAAGAGCCAAATCATACCAAATGCAAAGGGATTCATCTTAGGGACAACAAATATTTCATACTATGTATTTCAGAAAGATAACTAGATAGATCCAAAAAAAAGAGAACACCTAAGGTGGACATCACAGCTGTCCCATTCAAAAAGGGAAGAAAAGGTTCTCCCATTGGAGCCTAATGGAGGATATTTGAAGCCTGACTAACAAAACTATCAGTCATATAAAAAAGTTTGTGGCTAATCGCTTAATTTTACCTTAAGCAGAAGAGCATTGCATGTGGACTCCTGAATGGCTTTCTCAATACGTTTTGGATTTGACATCAATAGACCATCCCCGACAACCTGCACAAATCACACCCAATGATTTCAGGCATTTAATTAGATAAAAAGCCTTGTAACACAACCCAAACCCTCAGCAGCAGGCATTGCTTATTCACTATCCATTGAAGATAAAGAATAATTTTGACCAAAACTTTCAAATGTGTTCCAGACAATAGTCCATCCCAGTAAGGAAAAAAATTTAAGTTGCCAACTATAGTTCTATTTCTTCTACACTAATGCAACATTGAATTGTCAATCATGTGTATTTATGAAGGTATTCCTATTGACAAAGGAAATACAAAACGAACCTGGCAAGCTTGAAGAGTAGAGAAATGCTTTGTGAGTTCCCAATCCTCTTTGTCAAATGGATCCTCAACTGAGACAATTGGGTAATCTGCAAGATGCAAAAGAAGAATAACACTGAAAAGGAAGACTCCACAAGGAATTTCAAATGGTAGAGAGATAAAAGGATGAAAGTGAAACAAGAGAGGAACAAAACACAACTATACCAGAACAAAGTTGTTTATACAATTCAATCATATCCTCTCCCGACTTGAAATTTAGCCCTGACTTATTTGGGGTCTTGAAGTCTAAATCATATTTAGTTCCTGTAAATCAAGTGAATAAGGAAAGCTAAATGTTAGATACCAGCAAGAATCAAGCCTCTCAAACCCAACCTTGAGCGTAGATAATTAAACAAAGTAAAGAATTCTAAACCTTGAAAACCACCCCTGAGGCCCTAAACAAGAGAAACTTCCAGTAAAAGCACATTTCATGTTTACTCGAAGGATTATCAAGATTTTAGAGCAGGATCCTCTTATAAGCTTGATTTTTGCACTTTAGAGCATTACCTATGCAAAATTCAGTTGCAGCTACATCAATAGCAATCTTTATTTTATCATTATGTCCAGTTCTACCAATAGCCTCCATGACTAAATCCAGGGCTTCTTTTACACTGCATAAGACAGATAGAAAACAAGAAATCAAATCAGAGCTGCATAGAACAAAATGCACAAGCTAAACACAGTGACACACATAATAAGATTGTTAACTCATGGTATTAGATTTAATATTTATATATACTCATTGATAATATTATAGAATAAGAGAATTGCCCCAGTAAAATATGCTTACCTTGAAATGTTAGGAGCCAAGCCACCATCTTCTCCTACATTGCATCCATGCACACCAAACTTTTCTGTAATAACAGCCTGCCCTTTCCGTTAACAAAAATCAAATCAATAAATTGCAAGCAAACACACTTTAAGATAAGAGTATTTGAGCGAAACTTGTTTGCTAGTGGGGATCACATGAGGCTGAAAGTATTGGCTGGAAGACAATGAGCTATCACATACAAAGTAATTAAAACGTGATAGGTAGAGTCATTTAGGTTTTAATTCTAACAGTTGAGAAGATCATCCATGCCGTTCCAACTCTTCATTTTACCTCAAGTATCTGTGTGACCGAGTCGGGTACTCGACAGGCACGCGGGTATGCCACTTACACACTTAATTTGGGACTAAAATCATGCAAAAGTTTCATGAAATGCAGTGTTTGAGACTTGACACATCATTGTGTCAGGTACTTCTAGTTGAGTCCAAGTAATAAAGCTCATTACTTTCTTTTCACAGTATTGGGCTCTTGGAAAACATCTTTTCTCTTTAAGTACTCCAAGTAAGAAGACATATTCATTTAGTACTGGAAATTGTTTTATTTTGTCATTGAACAGTCTTTTTCATAGTATAAATAATACTCGTGATGTGCTCTTACTTTTGTGAAGCACATAAGATTAGATTGTGGAATGGTCACGAATATCAAAGAACATGGTGTTCTATGTGCAGAAGGAAGATATTCCTGCTTAAACTATGACCACTACTATAAAGAAGTAAAATACCTTTAGGTGATGATACGTTTCAGACCCCATCTGCACTGCCTCCTCAAATGTCTTTGCACCAACAGGCAAAACCAAAATTTCCTGAAAATCAAAATTTAAGTATAAAATTTCAGTGAAAATCAGAATGGAATTTGAGCTTTCTATGAGTTAATAATTGCGATTTCATGGCAAGCAAGGGGTATTATCATCACAATACCTGAATAGCCAAATTGTTTCCAGCATGTTTACCACCACTGAGAACTGTGAAGGATGGAACAGGAAGCAATGTATTGGTCCCACCAGAAATATCAGCTATATGTTTGTAAAGAGGAACCTGGAACGAATATTCTAGTCAAAAGATGGCGAAATATAACATATTAATACAATAGGATAACTATCGTTCCAATGCCAATGTAAATCATACCTCTTTTTCAGCAGCTCCAGCTTTGCAAGCAGCAATTGAAACTGCTAATATAGCATTTGCACCGAGTTCTCCCTGCAACACCAGATGAATTAAGGAACATAGGACTCAAACCATTTAGAAGCCAGAGAACTAATAGTCTCCAACTTCCACAAGCAAGTAAGTGAAAATTGTTTCATACATATGACTGGCTGTGGGAGTGGGAACAAGCTTTCACATTATGTGATGATTACCTTCTTCTCTGTCTTATCTAAGTCAAGCATGACTTGATCAATTTGGGACTGAAGAGTAGGGTCCATGCCAATCAATGCTTCAGATATTTTCTCGTTTATATTTCTCACAGCTTTAGTAACACCGTTACCCAAATAGATCCCTTTGTCTCCATCACGCAATTCAGTGGCTTCATACCTACCCAAAAACAACACTGTATTAGCTTTGCAAGTGGTATACGAAAACATAATCAACACAGTACAAGTGCAAGAGAGAAAAAATTAAACTGCACATATAAATAGAAGCTTGTTTGTTGACAATTAACTTATTACAGGAGATAACAAGTTGGTAACAAATAGTATGCACACGACATAACTGGTATGCAAGGCTGCAAGCAGTCATTTATATAAAGGTCATAGAAAACAAACAAAGTACCTACATTATACCTTACCTAAATTGAATAACCATAAGAGTGGCTACAAACTGACCCCCCCCCCACCCCCCTCCTCCCGGAAAAAAAAAAAAAAAAAGAAAAGAAAATAAGTTTACCTAAACAAAGTCATCTATACTGCTGACTTTAAGATAATGGCAATAAAATGAGCTTTAAAATACTGGCAATAAATAAACTGACAGGAAATAAAGGCGTGTCCCATGAAGAACAATGGGCCTCACACAAGATAATATGAACCTTGATGATTAAGTATGTTGTATGCAGTATGCTGCATGATAAGCAACACTTGTAAACTTTCAATGTTAGCAAGACATTTCATCAACAAACACCAGCAAGCAGCAACAAACCCAGCAAGATCTTGCCAAGGCAATTTAGATACATTGGCCTCTTCAGTAATCATAACTGGTGAACATTGAAGCTACATACAAACCTCCCAACTTCCTGCAGTAAGCAGAATCCACATAGTATATTTGTTACAGGATTTACTGTGTATGGTGATGACCACTAAAACTATAAAGACTGTTTCTTAATCTAAGACCAACACCAAGGTCAAACAAAGCATTTCAGGATATGAATCATCTTAAAATGTCATAAAAAGACGTAATTGTCACTGGAGTAGGACAATGAAGTTGATTACATGACAGTCTTACATTACATGGGCTTCCAACCTATGTTATCTGGACTTTTTATTTCACCTCAACACGTATAAGAATACTCTTCAAAACTCTCATGTATGGACACTTTACACTTTAATTTGGACCCAAAAAGCACATTTTCTTAAAAATTTATTTCCCAAGTCTTCAATACATCCCGCTGTATTACCTATCTATTTCTAAAATCAGCTGGGATTGTAAAAATTTAGAGATACTTTTTTCATCATTTGCTAATTAAGTGTGAGAGAAGTTAGAAGAGAGGAGAACCATCAACTTTGTTGGATCTAGCTTCAAAATTAAATGAAATGAGGGCCAGGAGCACAGGAATATAGTGCAAATAACATCTAGTTACTATAGAAATGGATGAGGAGATGCCTTCTCGAACCTGATTCCTGATTCGGCCAGCATGTTTTCATGCCTTGCCTTGTAGGTTATGCTTAGAGAGGGTGATATACTTTCATATAAATTCTACTGTATTTGAGAAGAAATCTAACACAAAAGGAAAGGCTTCATTTTGACAAATTTCTAGAGCACAATTAGGAAATACTTCATGGATCTTCACTAGCAGCTCTTTTTAAATCAACTATCAAAGGTCTCCACATTCGTTATCCTGTATCTAATTTATTTTAATAAATGTAAGGTCTTGAAGAAGATTAAAGACTTTCATGCAGACAACTGATTCGAATAGGCTAAAATTAATGATATTCAACATAACAATTAACGTGTAAATTTGTGCCTAAGTGAGACACAAAATCATATATCTCAGCACTGTGAATATGGTTCTTTCATTTGGAATAGATTGTTGGAGAAATAGGGATCCAGCGTGCTGGGAGCCTGATATGCAAATTCTCCCTAGAATAAGAAGAATAATCATTTTGTAGTCTTGCATGATCGGCAATTTTGTGAAGTTTGTAACTCGAAAGAAAAGATTCTATTTTTAGAGATAGGACCTCAAATTATGAGTCTTTGCAAGACAAAGTAGGTTATCTTGCTTTCCTAAGATAGTAAGATACTACAATGCCATTTCAACGGATATATCCCAGAATTAAATGTATATGATGTAAAGCATGATAAATACGGTTTGCTTATCCAACAAAGGTCCTTAATTAAATATTATGGTAACTTCATTCTTGGTCTTAACAAAAGTTTTATAATTACACAAAAAGAAATAAAAAACCTTCCTATACAACCTGATAGAGAAGAGACTTCATGTGGACAGCAAACAACTATGATATCTCCTCTATCCACTCAAATATCAAGATGGTAGTCAACATAGAGCCAATTCTCTGAATAAACTACAGTCCGCATATCATATATATAACTAAACATAATTCTCCATCTGATTCTCCTGATGTAGTCATAATAATCCAAAGAAATCGAATGAGAACGAATCAGGAACTTCCTACAGTCCTTAGCAATTACATTGCCTTCCTACAGGGTAAACCACACCAAGCCACGAAAATCCATAATCTAACTAAATCAATTAGAAAGAATCAAAAAAATTGATCCTAAAGCCATTTGCAATTACATTGTATTCCTTTAGCAAACACGTACACCAGCTCAACAACATAAAACATTAAAACCTACTTTATGTAACATATGATCGCCGAATTCTCAAAAAAAACCTAAATGGAAAAAAGAGGAAAGAGAAAGAGACGTACATTCCAGAAGAAGGACCGCTAGGAGAAGAAGCACGAAAAGTGCCTTTATTCGTAGATAATTCAACTTCAACAGCAGGAATTCCTCTGCTATCAAGGATCTGCCTCGCCTTCACCTTCGTAATTACTGATTGCACCGATTTCAACATATGATTTGCCTAATTATTCAAAAATCAAAATTAATAAGCAGAAATTAACATGAAAAACAATAATTTGCTGCAGAATCAAACGGAAGAACTTACGATAAAGAGGACTGGATCATTGGTTTTAGCCCTAACAGCGGCATTGACGGCATCTTCAATCTTCCGAGACAGCAAATGCTTGTCCAAATACTCTTGCACTGACATTTTTCCTTATAATTTCTAGCTGATTTTGATGTTTAATTTCGACTTGGAGATGGATGATCTTCAACACGAGTAAGAAGAGAGAATTATCGAAAATCTTCGAATTTCTGGGAATGAAGTGAGACTGTTTTTTTTCTTTTTCTTTTTTTTTTTTTTTTTTTTTTTTTTGCTAATTTTACATTTTGGAGCTCTTTGATGTTATACTCCGTATTATTGTTAGTTAATCCCTCCATCCCTAATTTTTTTTGCCCCATTGTCAAAATGTGGGTCAAATTTTGACTATAAATTTTAATTAATATCAACTTTTTATAATTTTTACACGTAAGAAAATGGAGATATGACCGTTTTAATACATGTCTAGGAGATCGCGCGAAGTCAAATGGAGCAAAAATAAAGGGAGAGATGGGGAGTAATGGACGGGTGGATTGATTTGAAATAGGCTCAGATTTTTTGCTTGATGGGCTTTCTTGTATATATCCGTTTTTTTAATTTGGTATAGTCATCGGTTTTAAATTTTGGCCTTGTATACGGCCCTATTCACTCCACCTTAAAAAATTAATATTAATTTAAAATAATATCGATTCAATAAAAATAAGTTCAGTTTAGTAAAATTCAGTAACTTTAAAGAAGATATGTAATAAAAAAAAATAGCAAAAATAATTTAAGTTGAGTAAAAATAATTTCAATTAAGTAAAAATAACGTGAAGTGGACGGGGCCGTATAGTGATTAGTCTTGCTTGTGTGTCAGCTATCGTTTACTCCGTATATACTTGTAGAATAGTTGTTATTCTTGTTAAAGTGAATATTGATGAATTAATCCAAGTCTAGATTACAATAGGTAAATGACATTATAGATGCTTGAATTAAGTAGCAAAGACTTTCATGGAATTTATTGATAATATTAAATCAATAGTCAAAAGTGTCTCGCCCACTCATGAAATAAATCTAATAGATTTAAATTTTCAATCAAACATACTTTGCACAATACTACTCTTTAGTGCAATTTAAAAAAATTTGGTCAAAGAATTAAGGATAGAGGAATTGAAAAATCTGTGACCAACAAAATTTGAAATTGCATTAAAGCTATCAACGTGATGTTAAAATTACTGATTTTATCTGGCAGTATTGTTTGGGTCCCTTTCGGAGACCTATTTCATTGACAAAAGAGTAACGAATGATTTGCGTTGAGGTATAAATGCCTAATACCAACCAACCAAAAACCAAATATGAAAACTGACAAGGTTAAGCAAGACGTAGGTATTCTCTTTGGGCTAAGGACCTTTGATATTCATTATCAGTAACGATTTTGATGAATAATACAGAAAGTCCAGTCTTAATAAACTTAAGTTTATAATTACATGCTCACAATCGCCCTCAACATTAACTGGAGGCATTTTTTTCTTGACAAGAGCACTGCACTAAATAGATCAATACTTTACAAAGCACGGGTCATGTTGAAATAATACTTGTGGTTTCGTGAAACGTACATGCCATGTACAAAACCTAGTATCTCATACTACCACAAATGCACTGGATGCGCCTACAAAGTGGTGGACTGACCCAAAAAGTCCCTTTGAAGCGCCAAAATGCCGTATTCTATACACACCTGGCAGTGCTTTCTGTGGGATCCTCCATTCTATTGTTGCCTGACTATGTGTGCTGAGTTTGGCAGGCCTTGACCACTTGAAGCGGAGAGAGAAATCATCATCATCGTAAACTGGTTCCCAACTGTCCTTCTTAAGAAGCATCTCCACCAAAGCAAATGTTCCTTCGGTCATGAGATCATTTCTTGGACAGGCTGACCAGAAGACGATGCTCACCATATCACCTCTCTTAAAGGTTGCATTTCGGGGAACATCCGTGCTGCAATCTCCAAAGTTTGAACCAAGGGGAGGTGTGTCCAGAACAACCGGAGTGAGAAAGCCCACTTGCTTGTCCAGGAGATCTGGTGGCTGGGGGCCCGATTCAACCCTTTGGCCATGGACGAGGGCTGTAGCAAGTTTCTTGAATTCTTGAATGAAGGCACTATGTGTGTGGGGCCCATATAACGTAGAAGCACCCTGTTAACCATAATGTCAGTCAATGGTCAGCTTTCTGCATTATCTTTTAACTATTTGGGGGGGGGGGGGTGTGGTGTTACGGAGTTCCAGGACCTATAGGGCTATAGGTTAAACCAGATACAAAGTTTTTTAGTTCATGAACAATATCAGCGGCAACTTCTTTTTGGTACAGAAAGTTCCTCAGCAGGAACCAAAAATTACCAACACAGGATCCTAAAATATCTCCAACAAATAGATTCTCTAATAGTCTGACTGGCTAATTGAGCTGACAATCAGAACGATGGAATTGGGACATTTTAGTCAGATCAAATTCTGGTGCAGTCTTTCAATAGGGGTCTAGTCGGGTAATTTTTGGGTTTAATTTCTTGGGTCGGGTCAATTTCAAGTACAGGTCAGGTTATCTTAGCCATGCCTACTAGTAGTAAGAAGTGAGTCTGCTATACTTATAATAGCACGACACCTACAAGGAAGTAGAATTGTGGTTCTTATTGCTATAATCTATCTCAAAACATTAAACGAATGCCTTACAACAATAAAATCGGGATTGGGAGAAGAAATGCATAAACTATATAATAGCTGCAAACTGAGAATAAACTGCTGAAAGCCTGATATATGCTGTACAAGAGTTCTTCAAGTCAATGGCTTGTGAGAAACCATATAAGTTCAGTAGCTAGATAGTGTAAATGCACATAATGCAAATAGAAATGGAGTTGGTTTTAGTGGACACCAACAATAATATGGGGCCACCAGATACCATAGACGGCTAACAATATATTACTACAAAGTTAACCTTGAATAAAACTGACTCGCTGGAAGCAATGATTACGATAGGAAAATAAAGCAATATCTTAATAATCTGGAAATGGAAAACTGACCTCATATCTTTGGACCTGGTACTCCTCGTAGGTGGTAACATACTGTGAGTAAGTATTTGTCAATCCTGCTATAACAACATGAAGGCCGCCATTGAATTCTCCACTAGATGCACTTGTAAGAACTGTCTTCACAGCATCACGAAGACGCCTACCAGCCATTGTTGTGAACTCTGATGGCAGAATAAAAGCAAAATCAGCCAAAATAAAAGGAAAAATGTACTTCTATGTCATACATCATATGAAACTTTTAACTTTCTGAAATTGTAAATTCACAGGAAAGAATACACCAAAATCTTGAAGTTACAGGTTTGCACAATATGATGCTAATATGACAACCCAAGTTCTAAACACATATTCTCCCCTAAAAATACAATGTAAAATTAATAAAGCTCAAACCTCTGCCACACCTTAAGAGGATTAACTTAACTAATTTCTGAACATATGACAAAACCTAATTAATTTTCTAAGGCTTATTCAAAGAACATTCCTTAAATTAGCAGGGAACCTGCTCCTGAAACATTGGTGATTGACAAGCCAAAGCAGACCATGCATTTTTAAGACCATTATAAAGGTGAATCCTAGCGATACAAATAAAAACGATCAGCTGATCTATTAGGAAAACTAGAGCCTAAACTCTTTATATTACCAGCAGTATAATGATCCTGCATCCCGCATCAATACTTGGAACAAAGAACTAGAATTCTAACAAATTGGGGAGGCAACACCTTAAAGGTCGAAATATAACAAACAAGATGCAAGATTACTAGAAGATAGTCAAATACACACAAAATTACAAACTGCCAACAAATAAATTAGAAACCAAATAGCTTGATAAAATGTTAATTAAGTAGATGAAAGACTACCTGAAGGTACACTAAGGATAACGAATTGCCCAATTCGCAAGATCTGGATTGGAAGTATTGCAGGCTGCAGAGGAACCACCTTGGGTAAGATAAAAAAGACTTAAATAAATGGTAGGGCAGTAACAGCCAGTGTAAAACTTTGTCACATCGCTTGACATGAGTCACAATGATTGAGATTAGTACTAGGATGGGTGACCTCCTGGGAAGTCCTCATGTTGGTTCATGTAGCCGATCCTACTTATGGGATTAAGGCGTTCAAGAGGGTCATCAATAAATATTAACTTACTGAACCACACAAGGAATGAAGGAACCATCGAGAACAACACAGTTCCGAGGTTGTGTTCTGTTTCTACACTTATGAAAGTTTCTAAAATTAGTAAGCCAGACTTGGCCACTTGGGCAATATTAATTTTTCACACAAGCTGGTTGCATTCTTAACCTTGTTATTAATCTCTTTTTTCAAATTCTTGCGCAAAATCCAACTCTTAATAATGTCACATAATTATAGCATTTTGGCTTTGATACTTTAGAGAAGGCCTACTTCCACCATCTTTTAATAGATCATCCCCCATACCTACATAGAACAGCACTACAACGCAATATTCCAGTAAATCAGCAATCCAATCAAGTAGCAGACTAGCAGGTATTAGCCTGTATTGTCCAACAAGAGTTGACTGTAATAACAGGTCCTGTCAAACTGTGCAAGCACTTTACTCATATATCCAAACAATATACTATAGCTTTGTGTAGCCATATTACTTATATGAAGATACTAACCGCCCAATCATATGGAAGCTTCATTTCACCAGTATCAAGTAGAATTGGTTTTGGTTGTTGGCAGTCAACCTGCTCTTTTTCCGGTGTTTTCAGTAAGTTACGCACTAATCTCCAAAAGGGGTTTCCCTGACATTATGCACCACAAGAATAGTGATTTACTGATCATGCAAACACTAACCATGTGAACAAATTTACAAAAAGGGAACATAATTTAGTGGTTTCAATTACCTTGTCATCTCCCTGCTTAAAATCAAAAGCTCCTGGTCCATCTGTAGTACCTGCAGCAAAGGCAAATCCCATTGCAGCCGGACATGTTTTGACTACCTCACTGCCACCTCCTTCTTTAGGGATCGTAATCTCAAGTTTAGAGAAGTCCAGGTAAGTATGTCGAAAATCAATTTTCCCTTTTATCTGTTCAGATGCTGTTTTGAAAAGATCAGCAGCTTTCTTAAACTGCCTCTCCCCAATTATACGCGTGCTCTCAAATTCATCAGGGTAACTGTGAGGAAAAGATAACAGTTAATTTTGCATGGCCACTGAAATTTTTCTAGCCATATCAGTGAAAATAATTTGAGAGAGTTGCATACCCTGGTCCACGACCATAGCATAGTTCATTCTTCCCACCACATGTACTATGATTGAAGTCACAGGGAAGGCCCGTGTCAATGCAATATGCACCAAGAACATTGGGACTAACATCACCACAGTTTGACTGACAAAATGCAGCGACAAATTTAGGTTTATCACTCTGTCGGAGAGCACTTCTCACACGGCTAGAAATGCTCAAAAATTTGGTTACTTCTCTTTTAGAAGAAGCCTGAAAAGAAGAGGCGAGATCCAATAGTTCACGATCTGCATAAAGAAATATTGAAGAGATCTCAAAACTAAAGCCTCTGGGACCGTTACTAGGATGTGTACAGGAGCACAGGACAAACTCATCATCAGCAATCACAATGTGGGTGTGAGTGTATACACACACACACATACACTAAACACGTACATTTGAATCTTAGATAAGTAGATTGACCACTACATACACTTCCAGAGGATTAATAGGGTCTTTTTCCCGTGTCAGTACAGCTTCTAGCTGTAATGCCAAATCTAGCCGAAACTCAAATCCATAACATATCATAAGTCATAACCATTAATTCAATACCTCCAACCAGGCTCTTCTCTAGCTATACAGCATTGGAGCAAAAAATGTACAACTATCTTAATTTAATAAAATTAATATAGTCATTGAACAACTTGCCAGACAGCCTTTCTCACATTAATCACTTGACTCTACTAGAATATATTTCATCATATAATCTAACAAAAGGTCTACTAGTTTCAACAACCTAGCATGAAGGCTTCACATTTAAACACACCAATGGTCTAGTGGAGCTGCAGTAAGACCACTGGAACACTATAACAAATTAGATCTTGGATTAATGTTTGATGCTTACGCTTAACGTTGTATTCAGGAATAATATTGGAAATTCGCCTGGGAATTCTTTCTGTAGATCCTGTGTGAGATTCGTCAGAATAAATATTCCCGCTATCCTTCCCATCATGCCAGTCTTCCATAAATCGTGCAGCAGCACCTTTGTTATCCCCACTTATCAACGGATTTGTACGACTCATGGACGTCCCATGAGTCGCAAACCAGTTAAAACTGCCCACTGGACCCCATTCAGCATCTACAAACTTCAGAAGGGTCATCTCCTTATCAACATCAAACTTGTACTTGCTTCGCTCTTCAGAAGGATTATTTAAATAAGCACTAGGACTGCGATTGACACCAGCATCAAGAATCTCTCCTGTGCAAGGGACAGAGGTGAGAAGACATAAACATAAAAAGAGTCAAAATAACCATTCAATCCCCCCCCCCCCTCTCACCAAAAAAATAATGCAAACAAAAGTAATATATTAGGATTATTAGGCATAAGAGTATATTATAAAAAGATCAGGCAGGAACATCATTATATCAAGAGGTTTGAATTATATCATAATTGCTACACCATAATCAGCATATTCAGCAACATATACACAAGTTGTTCTTTCACCAGGTTTGAAGCTCAATAATTAGCCAATCCCTGATCCAAGTTGCAGATTCATCAAGTAGCTTTAGACTGTTCAATGGAAGTGGAGGAAATATGCAAAATAGATGAAAAGCGCAGAAACCTATATAGTCAAGAAGTAAAGTAACTTATGCCTTTTCACCAAGTAAAAAACACTCGTCATCCAGGTCAAGTAAACAATGAGTAAGAAAGGCAAAAAGGAGCAAGTGAGCAACATATAGCTTATGCAAACTATATTTAATTTTTTTTCCCCACTGAAAAAAGCTTTCTTCAACTAAATAATAAATAATCAAAAGACACAGAATTTTGGTTAAAGATAGATGCAAAATGATATCATGTATATCGAAGATGAGCATAGACTAAACTCGATCACCAAGCATTATGCTATATCTAGATCTGGTTCCTATATGACAATAAGGGTTGGAGAGTAATGCAAAGGAAAAGTTTAATGCACCTTTGTTCACAAAGATCGAACCAGGTCTCAGATTTCCGTGAGCTAGTATAAAACTTTGCTCAATGCCATCAACAAGAGCATCAAAGGACTGGCGCACAAATCCAAGAGAAGTGACAATGTATACAACATACTGCAGATAACCCCCGGGACCAGCATGTGTATGAATTCCACTGATAGCAACATTCTTTTCAGTGTACAGATTCCCATACCTGCAAACAAAGCTCTTTAATGATAATAATAAAAAATTATTCTCCAAACATGATACATGACAATACACAGTAGCAAACCTAAGGAAAATAAATCACCCTAAATAAGTATACTGAAGGTATATGGTATATCACTCATTTCTGAGGTGTTCAGTAATTTGTAAGTTCAATTAACTCTCAGCTCCTGCCTCCTACCTCCTAAAACTCACTATACTTAAAATAAACCCAGTTCGAGTTTTTCACATTTCGTGAACACATGCACTTTATAGGGTCAGAGTATATGTATATTCAACATAATTATGATCCAAGTAGAAAGAGAGATGTTACCTTGCTTTCAACCTCTCAAGAACTTTGATAGTCACAAGTTGTGAGGCCATACAAGCATCGAGATTCACAAAAGCTACACGATTTCCTGGAGGTTCTGCCACAATAAATGTGCGAGCACGCAACCTAAAATGGACCCCAGATGCAATTTGTGCCGTATCCGCATATCCCATCATATTAACATCAGCTGCCGGTCCTGTGATGTCATAGCTCCCAAGCCCAATTAGATAATTGGAAGTTGAGAATGCTCCTTTTCCGGCCAATAATAGCAGTATAAGTAAAAGAGAAAGCCGCATGACTCCAAATTTTCCCCGTATTAGGAAACATGAGGAACAAAGCAGCTTCATTGCAGATCCAAAAATAGGATAATAGAACCTATTCAAACCTCTTCATATGCCTTCATAACAAAAGAAAAAGGACAAAGTGGCGTTAGCATCAACAATATTCACAAGTATCATAGATCACAATGAGCAGAACAATTGGACATCACGGCCAATCCTTTGTAACTATTGACATAAAATTCAACTAGTTTAACACATAGATTTCGAGAGTATAAATGTGAATCAGTAATTTGTTAACATGATGTAGGCAAAGTAGTTTCTTTCTTTCTTATCTTCCACACTTTAAAAACACCTCCTCCATAGCAAAAATTCCTTATGAAGAATGACTTATTTCTACATCATAAAGCAAATTACTATCATTAATTGGAGTTTGATTGTTTTTAATCCTACTCACTACAATCAATTAGATAGGCATCTCACTCTAGAATTCCGCTCCATCTTTTACTCGGTTAATAGCTTCTTAAGAATCATCCTAATTAAAAGACAACAACGAACAAGTTCAAATCAAGGCGAAACAAGCAATCCACAATCAACATAATGCCTTCTCCCACATAATCGTGGCCTACAAAGTAAGTTAGCAAGTAATGCTCCAGTTTTTGTGGCAAGATTCAACTAAAACAAGCATAATATTGAACTTTACAGCAACATTTGAATTAATTGCAGGTATAATACCATTTAATCCTATTTTAAACAACCAATTAAACCAAAATTAAAATAGCAATACTTAATACAAGTAGAACAACAATACTTCAAATTAAATGAACCAGATATTCCTCACCAACAAAAACAATTACAATCCTACGCAAACAATTACTTAATTCAAAAAAAATAAGCGACGGTTAATTATAAGCTGACCTAGTCAAATTCTATGCTTGATCGCAGATTATACCACCATAATCCAAAATTACTCATGATATACAGCAAAAATACAAAAATTCAATGAGATGATTACCAAATAAAATTGAAATTTCGCGCCAATTGCACCGATGAATAGAAAAAGAGAGAAATTGCAAATTATGAGAAATTATGCCGAAAAAAGATGAGCAGAATTGGGAGGATTTTCGGAGCTTTGATGAGAAGAGGTGAGAGAAAATGTGAGTGTGAAGCAGACTTAGAAAAGGGTAAGTAACTTGGAAGGTTATTTTAATGGAGGAAGTGTGGGACCCAGTGTTTCACACGCCATAGAAATGAGAGAAGTTTCGTCAGTTTTGGCGTTACAGTTTATACTATGCTGTTGCTTTACTCTACTTAACCCAGAGTCAAGTATAAAGCAATATAATCGCGTCCGAGGTGTGGAAGTAACGACTCTGACGAGGTTAGGTTATGTCTTAAATTTTGCATTTGTGGTGCCATTAATTGAGCAAGGGAGGACCTACCTGTTTCATACGGTGGTTTATTCAAATATACTACTCTCTCTGTTCTAATTTAAGGGAGTTGTTAAAAGTCGCTCGTATTTTGAACATGAATTTCCTAATTTGCCCCTTGCTTATAAATATTTACGAAAGTTCCGCCTTAAATATCCTAATTCGCGGTTATGTAAATACAATATCCTAAACTTCATCTTAATATAATTTGCCATCTAAATTAAATTTTTTTTTCCGGAAAAAGGGGACTTCCGCCTTAAATTTCCGGAAATTCCACGGAACTTCCGGAAATTTAAGGCGGATGTTCACACTTTCGCCTGAAATTTCCGGAATTTCCGTGGAACTTCCGAAAATTTAAGGCGGAAGTCCCCTTTTGTATATTTTTTTTATTTTTTATTTCTGTTTTTTGTTTTGGTCTGTCATTTTTTATTTTTTTTATGTTATTGCGTAATTTAATTTGTTGTTGTAGTTGTTTTTTAAATTTGGTGTTGTTGTATTTGTTTATTAAAAATAATTTAGTTGTTGTTTCTTTTTAAGATTATTTGAGGTGAATTCGCTCGGGAATTTTGCGGCTCGGGTTTTTTTAAAGAAACTAACAAATATGATGCTCGGTAATGTTTTGAGGAAGCTCGTATTTTATTACAACAACCCGGGCCTTCCTTATATAGAAAAAACAAGCAAAGGGCAAAATGGTAAAATCACTTCAATTTGCGAGCGATGCCTGGTAATTTGCGAGCGACGAATAGCAATTCACTAATTTAATCGTTGCGTCTATAAAAAAAAAATTGAGTAATAAGTCGCCCGTACTTTGTATTAATTAATAGATGATGTGTAGCTCACATCATAGAATATGGATGAGATGATGTGGAAGGCCTACAATTGAAATAGACTTAAATGAAATGTATGACATTTTGAGATTTATTGAGAACAATAGTATTTCCCATTGAATACATTAAACTAAATCTAAAGGAACATTGGGCATTCATATAATAGTACAAAGTTTTGATTCCAACTTATTCTTAAGGTGAAGGATAACTTTTGATTCCAATTGGCCAATTGACCATATTTGTAAATAAAGACCTATAGCGATAATTCGGTAAAAAAAATAACTCCGGCGACAATCAATCAATAATAACATGATACTAAAACAGACACCAGGAATGACACGTGTCACTTCCTGGTGCTATTTTTTCCCTTCAAAACTCCCTTCTCCCTTTTTAACAAAAATCTTTTATTTTTGGAATATTTGGGTCATACAATTATAATACAGTAATATGTTATTCCTAATTTTATACATTATCTTTATAATAATTTTATTCCTTTTTATTTCGTATTCTATTTACTTAAAATAGTTACACAAGATTTTGAGACTTTTAATTAAGGGAGAATGAGCTATAAATTAGAAGGTTGAAATATGATGGATAGTATAAAAAACGAGGGCCAAAAACTACAATATTAATATTTTTTTCATAGTCGAACAATAGTGGGGTTCAATAAAATAAAATAAAATAAAAACATTTGTTTTCATGTTGTTGATTTGAAATGTTATGAAATGATAATAATTGAGTATGTTTTTTGCTAAATATTTCTGTAATAATTTTACCAACTTATAACATTTTTTTTCCCTTTAAAAAATCTTTTAACTAGTACTAAAACAGGTCATGTTTACATCGATTATTTTGGACATATGTTAAGCAATCATTGAAAAATTTCCCGCCAATAAAATATATGATGTCAGCTTTAAATTTTATTTTTAAAAAATTATTCTACTTAGCTTTTTTTTTTGGACTAAATTAATTCATTTATAAAATGCCATAAGGCATCTACATTGTATAGTTTTATTGGGAATAACATGCATCATTAATATAATATAATGTACACTATTTTAAAATATTTTCAACACAACTAATTAAAAATAATTTTTTTTCCTTAATTGTGGTTTTAATAAATCTTGCCTTATTATTTCATCTTTCTTACATGCATTGCATTTGTTTATTCCACATAAGTTGCCTCATTTTTATATTATATCACAAATTAATTATGGAAAAAAATGTTATTACTATCGTGCATCTCACAGACACTAATCTAGTATGGTAAAAAATGTAAACTCCATGTGACAATTTGGTAAAAAAATTAATCTCAGGCAACATTTAGGCCAAAATATCAAATTTTTCCAACAAAGTCTTCAAATTTCCTAATTTAATTTGTTATTGTGTTTTTTAAATTTATTTTTCCAATTTAAAAATTACAATTAATATGTCATCTCTTTTTATTTTGCTTATAAATCCCAATTTCAAATTTATTTCCAACCCCTTTTTTAAAAAAAAATTGTTAAGGGGTAGGAAAATTAAGTGAAAAATAATATTTACACAATAATTTTTATTTATTTTTTAAATGGAATAGGGAAGGGTGATTTCATTAAATAATAATAGTCATTCGGCATTTACAGTCATCATTTAAGAGATCTAAATTCTCAATACAAGAATTAAACACCCCTAAACTAATGACATCGCTTCTGGATAATTTTAGATGCCTTTACATCGTTATTGACGGAACTCCATTGATGTATAGTCGCAAAAGTGATAAAACTTGATTGGTCATCAAGATCTGCAAATTTGCAAGACGAATCTTCTAAATCTGCACCCTTGTACCAACAGTCCCGCATTTCCACAAATTTGCAAGACGAATCTTCTAAATTTGTATCTCTGCACACACTAAAAACAAACAAACAATACTAAACCCTACATGGAGGGACCGACTAAACCCTACATAGAGGAACTGACTATATTCACCATACTATTGGTGATCTTTAGTTGCTAAAAACATTAAATTAAAGAAGAACTTGGGGTTTACCATCGATAAAAATCGATGGCAGCCCCTAAGTTTTACTATGGTGGCTAGGTTTGAAGAGAGAGAAAAATAATTTTTCTTCAAATTGTTAATTCTGAAAAAAAAAGGGTTGGAAAATTAGGTAAGAGACCATTAAAAACGAACTAAATCAAGCATTTGTGGGTAGTTTGTCGGAAACTTTTGTATATTTTGGGTTAATTGTCGCTGTAAACCAGAAAAATTCAAACCTGCAATATATAAATAAAGAGGTAGAAAAATATACGGAAACAATAATTTCATTGATAATTTGTGGGTTACAACTCTCGTACATCTCTTGATTCCTGTCTCCAAAAGGCTAGGATTTTGATATTTGTTTGTAGTATAGGGCCTTGTTGGCTTATTCCATACTATGGACCTACAATGTTTGGTAGTAGGGAGGAGATGGAGTCATTTTGACTTATTTCATTTGAGCCTAATTAAACCCTAAAAACAACTCTCTTTATATATAATATCATATAGTAATGAACAAGATAGCTATCAAATATTCAACGATATCTTGATGATAAATATCCTATATTTTTTGATATTATATCCTTATTTACATATATCTGACACCTTATAATTAACAAAATTTTGGTGTCAACAAACCCCCCCTCGAGACCTGTTGTGGAGATTTGACATCGGATGCAACTTGGTCTCGAAACTTTCCTGTAGAATTTGAAAGCAAATTTGGCATGCCCCCATTAAATCTACGAGTTTTGAAATTTGGAGAGCGGAGATGAAGAGCGAAAACTGTCTCACCGAGCGTGTCAAAATTTGTTTACACAAATTTCGAGTCTAAACGAGAAATAAAGTAACAAATTAATTTATATTAATATTTGAATTTTGGGTACAATCTTTGTATAATAGTTTATAATAAAATAAACTAAGTCCTCTAATTCTGTTCCGCAGCTTGGCGTTGACACGTGTGTGACACCTGTAAGGCGACGTTTGATGACGTCAACTTGAGTTTGAATGTAGGGTGACGTTGATGACGTCAACATGTATTCAAGGGTTTTGTTTGAATACACCTGAACGAGGGCTTATATCACTACAAGAATTCATCTGATTTCCGACGGAAAAAATCCGTCGAAAAATAGAGGATTTCCGTCGGAAATAGACAATTCCGTCGGAAAACGTCTGTCGGAAACACCCTCGTCGGAAATAAGGTCATTTACGACGGATTTCCGACGGAAATGTATTTTCCGATGCTTTTTCCGACGGAAAAATTGCGTCGGAGCATGGTGATTGGGGGCTGGAAAAGTCCGTCGGAAAGCACCGACGGAACACCTAATCCGTCGGAAAATAAGGAATTTCCGACGGAATAAATCCGCCAGAAAAGGGGGAGATTTCCGACGGAAAATTTCCGCCGGAAACTCCTTTACTTTCCGACGGAATTTTTCCATCGGAAACTCCTTTACTTTCCGACGGAATTTTTCCGTCGGAGATTTCCGGCGGAATTTTTCCGTCGGAAATCTCCCCCTTTTCCGGCGGACTTATTCCGTCGGAAACGCTATTTAGTTTGTTTTTTTTCCTCCGTTTTGAATTGTTGTTCGCTATAGCAACCTGTTTAAACATTTGAAAATAAAGCAAACGATCAACATAAATTAATAATTATAATTACTACATTCAGTTTGGATTAGTAACCTAGCTAAATTGTATCTCAAATTGTGTACAGTACGGGAAACGAAACAGAAAGCTACATGACGGGAAAAGAATCTGAGCCCCCAGAACCGGGGTTGTCGTCCCAAGGGTCTCGCGGCTGCGGCGGCATCTTGGAACATGTGAATGGAGTGTTGAGTCCGGTCATGCGACTCAACATCTCGTCCATCATCTCTTTGTTCCTCCGCTCCAGTTCGACCATCTGAGCCTCGGATCAAGCCTGTAACTGAGCCTCAAATCGAGCCTGTAACTGTGCCTCCAACCGAGCGTGTACCTGGGCCTCCACTCGAGCCTCGATCTCAGCCATAACAGACGACGCCGGCGGCTGGTACTACTGAGAGGACCCAGATCCTCCAGAATGGGATTGATAGTACAACTCAGCACCTCGACCAAGCCCCCTTACTCGACCTTTCTTGTTACGTCCGCCCACTGCATCCCAGTATAGCTCATCTTGGCTTTTGGAAGACTCCTGGCTGCTCGCTTCCTCAACCAATTTCTGATATGTTTCCTGCATAACATTGACGAGATATATTAAGAAATAATGACGTTTGAAGAGAAAAAAGGTCAACAATAAAGGGTTTTTATCAACAGAAAAATTGACGAGAAAAACGAACCTTAGAAGTGTTCTACCTTGCCTATTTTTCACATTGACTATCAAACTAACCTATAACTTGCACTAACATACCAATATAGCCTAGTTACAAGTGTTCATGCGTTGAAAACGAACCCTAGATGCATTTCACTAAGTTTTGGGACGATTTACGTGATACAAGAAATTAAATTATTGAATTTATTACCGCAATCTCCTGGGACTTTTTGTTTGCCGGCACCTTTCCTTTACCTGGCACCTCCTTGAAGTGCGTTTTCAGGAACAGATCAGCAGCGGATGGCAGTTTCCCTTGGTTTTCCGCCGCCTTTGCACATAAACACAAATAAATCACTTTAATATGTAAACTGACATGATGCAAAACCTAAAACAACATTTCCTATACATACCATCCGTTTTGCATGTTGTGCCGCTGATATGGAACCCTGGAAGTGGGTTGCCTCCACCTCATTCTCCATGAAACCGCCTCTTTGGTTCAGCCTGTTCTGGGTGGACCGCTTCTGGTACGTGCCATCAGCATCCGGAATCTCCATCATCTTCTTGTGCACTTCCTCCGACACCCAATACGGTCTTTCACCTTTCATCTTCTTCGTGACAGTGTAAAACATGTCACGAAGGCGGGTACTAGCCCGAGATTTGAATGCCGCCCGTACACGACTGTCCAGCTCCGGTGACCATGTAAAATGTTGCTGTAAAATCAAAACTCGTAAAACGTAACAACAAAATATTTTGTACAATAAAATAATACACAATTGTATTGGTACATACGCTGAACAAGTTCCACCAATGGGTTTTCGTGGCATCGTCTACCTCTCCATAGTTCCTCCAAGGCGCCGTATAGTGCCCTTGGATCGAGCCGGAGATGGCTTTCTTCACTATTTGGTCATCAAACCTGTTTCAGAACAACAAAAACAACGTCAGTAGCTTTTGATAATTAGAAATATGAATCACGAAATGCACATAACATATGATCTAATATTCTTACCACAGCGTGGTCGGGTCTAGGCGTGGCATACAACGCTCCACCGACTGCTCTGAACTCCGGGGCTGTGACAGATCCTTAAGCTGAGTAAGCGAATCTGGTACATGAGTGTCACCCAGACCCTGAACAGTCTCAGAGTTATCCTCAGCAGTCTCGGGGGCCTGCTGGCTGTCTGACACATGGTACGGGGGGTAAGGATCAGATCTTCGCGACTTCTTCCCCGAGCTGCCTCCCTTTCTTCCGCCGGCCATGGTTCCCTACAAAACAGTTCAAGGGCATAACATACATACATACATACATACATACATACATACATACATACATACATACATACATACATACATACATACATACATACATACATACATACATACATACATACATACATACATACATGCATAACATACATACATAACATACATTGCATAAATAGTTGTATTCCTCAAATAAATCATTAAAGCTACTCGTTACTATCACTATTGCTACAATGATCACTATTGTTATCATCAGTACTATCATTAAAAACAACAATGTCGTCCTCATCCTCGTCACTGTCCTCTTCGTTGTCACTTGAAGAGACGCTTGATTCGTCTTCAGAAGCAGACACAATATCGTCGTCCTCACCCTCGGAGACAACAAATGCATGACCATCGCCACCATCTCCATCGCCATCGTAGTTCGGGATATCAGTCGGTGGGCAGAGTGTACTGCATTCTCGTGTTTGTGTTCCTTGCAAGAACTCCGGGTCAACAGGAGCATCCACAACGGACCTTGACTGCGTTTTAAACACAACCCACCATTGAGATCGATCCCGTCTGAGGCTCGGATATGGTGCGTATACACCTGACCAGCTTGATAAGACAGCACGAATGGGTCATATTTGGGGTATTTCTTAGTATGATTCACGTCAACAAGCTTGTATTGTTCATGTATGTTCATACCCCTACCACAATCCATCCAACTACACTTAAACAAGATGGTCTTGTATTCACGGATCGCACCAGTGTAGACAACTTCAATAATGTCTTGTAACATGCCAAAATACTCTCCTCCATCTTGACTGGACACACACACCGTAATTGATCGTGCCCTTATGTCTGTCGTAGTCTTGCGTATGGAAATTGAAACCACTAACACATATTCGGCTCCAAGTGCGAACTTTCTTGAAAGGACCCCTAGCCAAAGCTTGCAACACATCAGATCTTGGTTTCTCTTCAGTTACCTGTTAGTGTTAGATAAAATTAAAGGACGTCGTAGTTGGATTATACATACAGAAGTCAATAAATATCCCTATATTTGAAAGAGGTCCCACCTTGTCCCTAAACCAATTAGGGAACTGTGTTTCGAATGTCTCCCATACAGCTTCTCTACGCAGAGTAGGACGGGCGCTAAGAATATGGTCCTCAAACCTCCTGCTACGACAGCAAGAACATGTTAATGACCGTGAAACTCAGTACACCTGATCATATGATGGAAACAATTTAGTTACTGTGGATTACCTTTCATATTCACCTAATATGCCACTGTTTGATAAAACAAATAAGTGTCCACGTTGAAATTCCTTTTCATCTAACCACCTCAATTTTCCCTCGGTTGACACCCGACCGGTGTCCTCCGTGAACATTTCTGGGATGTCATTGGTGTCGATGGAGGTGTCAACATCAGCATTCACATTCCGACCCAGATCTCGTGTTTTTGTGTCAACTGACGGCTGGAAATAATTTGAGCAGAAGTTTGCTATCTCCTCAGTAAGGTAAGCGCTGCCTATCGAACCTTTAACGCGAGCCTTGTTGCCAATTTTCCGTTTTATATGGTTAAGGAACCTGAAATTAAAGTATGTTATGAAACTAAACGTTGAATTTGTGGCTGCTCAACAACTAAATCAAGGGTTCACTACCTCTCGAACGGATACATCCACCAATACTGCACAGGTCCAGCTAACTTTGACTCGTACGGTAAGTGTATGGGTAAATGCTCCATGGAGTTGAAGAATGCATGGGGAAAAATCTTCTCAAGTTTGCAAAGGATCTCGGCAATGTTCTTTTCCAGTCGTTCCATGTCACCGACTGTGACTGTGTAGCAACACAAGTCTCTAAAGAATTGACTGATCTATGTTACTGCATTCCACACATGAACAGGGAGCAATTCTCTCAATGCGACATGTAATAACCTCTCCATGAACACGTGACAATCATGACTTTTCATTCCATGTATTCTACACGCCTGCAGATCCACACATCTGCCCAAATTGGAGGCGTAACCGTCAGGGAATCGCAGGTCACGAACCCACTCACACAAAACCTTCCTCTGACCCTTATCGAGGGAGAATGGGGCCTTTGGCATGACCTCATTCCCTCTATCATCAGGCTGTAGATGAAGTTGTGGTCGCCAACAATATTTGGCGATGTCTTTTCTGGCCGAAGGTGTGTCACAAGTTTGTCTTCTCACATCCATTACAGTGTGAAATATTTGATCAAAGAAGTTTTTTTCAATGTACATGATATCTAAGTTGTTACGAATCAGCAAATGCTTCCAATACGGAAGCTCCCACAAGCAACTTTGCTTGAACCACCCTTTATTTTCCTTTTTCAACACTTGTAGTGATTCAGGCCCATCGGTGGCCCTCGGAAGGTCTTTCACACATTCCCAAAGTTCCACCCCTGACATGATGTGCGGCGGTGAGCCTTTTTCAACTCTGTTTTCGCAAAATGCTGTTTTACTTTTTCGGAAAGGATGATCCACAGGAAGAAATTGACGATGACAATCAAACCACGAAACTTTTCCCCCATGCTGCAACCAAAATGCCTTTCTCTTTTCCATGCAGTACGGGCATGCCTTCTTAACAGCCGTAGACCATAGACAACATACCATATGCAGGGAAGTCACTAATGGTCCATAGGATGGCTGCTCTAAGGTTGAAGTTTTGTTTCATTGATATATCATAAGTACTTGCGCCAACTTCCCACAACTGTTTCGGCTCCAGTATCAGTGGTTGCATGTACACATCTAAATTCCCCTTCGGGTTTTTGGGGCCAGGGACTATCAGTGACTAGAACATGAACTGTCTTTTCATACACATTGAGGGAGAAAAATTGTATGGGGTCAAAATCACGGGCCAACAAGAGTACTGACCCCCGAACTTACCATGAGGAGCAAAACCATCTGTACACAACCCTAGTCGAACATTCCGTGGATCCGAGGCAAACTCTGGGAAGCAGGTATCAAGCTGTCTCCAAGCTTCAGTGACACTAGGGTGTGCCATCGTGCCTTTGACACGAGGATTATTTGCATGCCAGCTCATTTCCTCTGAAAGGTTCTTCGTTGCAAACATTCTTTGCAACCTAGGTGTGATCGGGAAATAAAATAGCGCATTCTTCGGAACCAAGCTGCCTTTAAAAGTTTTGTTATATCGATCACTGCCACACACTCTACACGTAGGAAGTTCAGAATCCTCTTTCCAAAACAACATACAACCCTTGGGGCATGCATGAATCTTTTCATGCGGCAGCTCCAACCCCTTAACAACCTTCTTAACATCGTAGAATGTGTCACCCAAACGGCTGCTACCAGGGATCACTTCTGTCAACAATGAAACGAACCCATCGACACACCTGTGCGGCAAATTGTACTCACAGTTTAAGCTAGTAATTCTTGCCGCCACCTCCAAAACTGACATCGAACTCCCTTCATACAATGGATGTTCAGACGCCTTCAACAAATCAAGAAAACGCTTTGCTTCAGCGTTAGGCTCCTCCTCTGCAGCTTCAGTACCCGATCGATCATAATTATGACCAACAGCATCCATAACCATATCACGATATTCGTTTGACTGGCCTTCTACCGAGGATTCAGGTAGCCTTTCCCCTTGACAAATCCACTCCCAATAACGAGGAGTGAATCCCTTGCTGTACAAATGAATTCTTACTGTGTCCAGATCTTGAAAACGTCTGTTATTGCATTTAACACAAGGACACCTATATTCATTCTTTGCAGTCTCACGATGATCTTCGGAAAAGCGCACGAATTCCTCTACCCCTTTCAAGAACTCAAGCTTAATAGAACGCCCATCCATACTATCATACATCCAGCTCCGCTCTCTTCGTTTCATGATTCTAACTTCAACGGGTATTATTCATTTCAAACATCTTTAGAAGATTGAAATACTAAACTAACATATATACATTATACTAAACTAAACTAACATACATATATACATTATACTTAACTAAAGTAAAATATATTATACTAAACTAAACTAACAAACATTATACTAAACTAACATACATTATACTAAACCAAACGAAACTAAATTAACATACATACATTATACCAAACTAAACTACCATATACTATACCAAACTAAACTAAACTAAACTAAACTAACATACATACATTATGCCAAACTAAATTAACATACCTTATACTAAACTAAATGAAACTAAACTAAACTAACATACATTATACTTGTCTAAACGAAACTAAACTAACGTACATTATACTAAACTAGTAGCATACATTATACTAATTAATATAAACTAAACTAATAACGTACATTATACTATTATAAACTAAATTAAACTAATAATATACATTATACTAATATAAACTAAACTAATAATATACATTATACTAATATTAACTAAACTAATAACATACATTATACTAATATAACTTGCACTAACATACATTATACTTAACTAGTGTACATTATACTAAATTAAACTAAACTAAACTAAACTAACTAAACTAACATATACATTATATATACTAATAAACTAAACTAATTAAACTAACATATAAACATAATTAACATAATTTGTTAGGTTTTTCACATAATATATGTTATTGGTGATAAATTAAACTAATAAACTAACATATAAACTAAACTAATAAACTAAACCATTATACTAACATATAAACATAATTAACATATAAACTAAACTAATAAACTAAACCATTATACTAACATATAAACATAATTAACATAATTTGAGTCGTTTTTCACATAATCCTAACATAATTTCACTTAAATAGGACGTTAATTGGGGGTTTTTGAGCATAAAATTGAAGAACAGCAATGGAAAATGATTTAATTAAGTATGGGGTTATTGAGATTAAAAATTAAACAAATAAATTAACATAAACATAAACATTACAAACACTTACCGGATTGCTAATGTGTGTTGGTGATTTCGGGCTTGGAGGTTGTGGTAGTGGAGGTTGGGCGTGAAGGAGGAAGATGAAATGAGGAAGACGAAATGGGGAAAAATGTTTCTGAGAAACCAAGGCGCGCTGAAGTAAGGCAAAAAAAGTTTCCGACGGATTTTGCGACGGCTTTTTCGGTAATTCCGTCGAAAAAAGGTATCCTATGCGCAAAACCATTTTCCGACGGATTCCAACGGATGTTTCCGTCGGAAAATGGTATCCCATGTTCAACCATTTTCCGACGGAAAATTTCCGTCGGAAATATTGGTCTCCGACTGAAATTTTCCGTCGGAAACTTTCCGGCGGAATTATCCCTCGGAAATATCGAGATTCCGTCGGAAAGTCATTATTTTTCCGACGGAACTTTTTCCCTCGGAAAAATCACCATTTTGCGACGGAAATTTTCCGACGGACTTTTTTTCCGCCGGAAATTTCCTTAATTCTAGTAGTGTTATGAAACGTAATCCCGTTCAGATATGTTTGAATGTATCTGAACAAGTCGGCACGAATTTTATGTGCTTGTCGACTTATTTCAAAGAGAATTCCGTTTGAGTTTATGAGCTCTTCGAATAATGATTTATGGATCCCTTCAACTGATGGAGAAATGACATATTTATAGGAGATGAGAACCCCTTGAGTGGTATTAGTAGGTTTGGGCCTGACCCATTGATGTAAAAACTAATAGAAGGAATTAGTTTAAACAACTTAATGGATCAAACTTAAGCAAAGATTAGAGAAAGGCTTGTGTTTAGGTACGGTTTTTGTAGGTTTTAGGTGGGTTTTTGGTGCAGGTTTATCGTGGGTTTTGGCTAGGAAAATGGCGTGGCTATTTTAGTGGAAATAGGAATGGAATTGGCTTGGGTTTGTAAGGAATACTCACTTAACAAACTAGGATATGAAGGCAAGGAATTCTCACTTAAGCCTACTAGGTGCTTTACTTAGTTAAGGAATACTCTACTTAACTAGGTGTTGCCAAATTGCGTGGAAGGATTACTCACTTGACCACTCAATCTCTTCAAGTCCAACTTGGAAACAAAACCGGTTATTTTACAACCAAAATAATCAGTTTATAAGTTCAAGCAAAAGCTTCTTTTTTTCATTCATCATAATCTGTTTTCTTACTACACTTACATAGGCTTAAGTAGGCAATAGAAAACAGCTACACTACACGCATTCAACAAGACTAGGATGCGTTTATTACAACAATCATTGAGGCTTTCTAACTACCCCAAAGGACGCCTAAGTTGAACAGCTATATTAGGATGCTTAAAGCTTGTTATTAACGTAATTAAAACACTAAAAAAAACTGATTAAGAAGAAGCTAGACAGCCATCAAATAAGCAGCCACAAAAACGTGTAACTCCCCCTTGATTTACGCCCTCTTGAATGCTTCAACTTGCTGCCATGTTTATTGCTTGTAACTTGGATTCCTCTTCCCTTTAATCATAAGTAAATGAACCAAGCAAACAGCCACCAACTTATCAAGAACCGTTGGAATGCATTTGTAACCCCCCTTGATTCATGCTTCTTTCAGTTACTCTCTTAATGCAGCTCCCTTGAACTCTTCCTTTCCTCACGTCATTCCAAAAGGCCCAAGGCTGTCCCATGCTTCTTTTAATTCGTGTAATGAGCATTTTAACAAGTAAAGTCGTGATTAGCAACACAAAAGGACCATGGGCAGCAAAGGCATCCAATGCTTGGTCTTCAAAAGATTTCGCAAGAACCAACTCATTGGACAAACCGTAACTTGGACTTGAGGACTGATTATGATTAAGATTTATTGGATTAAAAGACTCCTCATGATTTGCATCATCTTGATTCACATCATTCTCCCCTTCTTCAAAAGAATTTGCCCTCAAATTCACTTCATCAAAACAAATAGAACAATTCCATGAAACCATCCAAATCTTATGAATACAAGCCAAAAGAACAACTACCTCAATGCTAGCAATTGTAAGCAATGTAACAACATCACCATGAGCAAGGCAATAAAGTAGAAACAACCAATTCTCAATTTGGTCCTTGGCTGTCCCATGCACAAATTTGTCCTTAGGAAGGGCAATGTAATCAATGGGCACATAAGGATTCACCCCATAGACTATTTGGTGTCCTATCCCACGAATGGGAGGTAATCCTAAAGGCAATTCATTAGGAAAAACATCCTCACACGTTTTGACCAATTCGGCCAACCAAGGGTTTTGTTGCACAAACCCTTTATGCTCCTCCTTAGGCAACAACAAAAACGCCTCATCTTCCCTTTCTAAGGGTTTTTCGAATTCTTTGAAGGAAAGCAACAAAATTTCCTTCCTTTTGGGTTCTTTTGGTTGCGGTAGGGATTGTTTTTGGGAAAAAAGCTTTTGTGGTGGTAAAGGGTGCAAAACTTTCTTGCAACCTTGATGGGTAATGGTGTAGGTATTGGATAGACCATCATGGACTGATTTTCTATCACTTTGCCATGGTCTTCCCAACAAAATGTGACAAGTATCCATGGAAACAACATCACACAAAATTTCATCCACATAAGAGCCAACATTGAATTTTACTAGGCATTGCTTTCTAACTCCCGTACTCTTACTCTTATCAAGCCAATTCAACTTGTAAGGAGTAGGATGTCTAGTAGTTTTCAAATCAAGTTTCTTAACAAGCTCACTTGATACAATATTAGCTTCACTACCACTATCAATAATCAAATCACACACATTTCCCTTAACCTTGCATTTGGTTAAAAATACATTTTCTCTTTGCAAAGGGTTTCTTTCAACCTCCACTTGCATTTGTAAAGCTCTTCTCAAAACTAGACTATTTTTTCCAGGAAAACAGTCATCACATTGTTCCTCTTCTTCATTAGAATCATAAGATTCTAAAGGGTCATTTTCAACAATATTTTGATTAGAAGGGTTTGGACGTCCTTCTCTTTGCTCTTGAGTCAACAAACGAGCCATAAGAGCCATCATATTGCTATGCAATTGCTCATTGATTTTTAACAACCTTTGTTGATTCTCCTCCATCATTCTAATTCTCCTTTGATCAGGGGTTTCATTTGATTGATCCATTTGGACAGAAATATTCCCCCTACCTGACGCGCCAAATGATGTAAAAACTAATAGAAGGAATTAGTTTAAACAACTTAATGGATCAAACTTAAGCAAAGATTAGAGAAAGGCTTGTGTTTAGGTACGGTTTTTGTAGGTTTTAGGTGGGTTTTTGGTGCAGGTTTATCGTGGGTTTTGGCTAGGAAAATGGCGTGGCTATTTTAGTGGAAATAGGAATGGAATTGGCTTGGGTTTGTAAGGAATACTCACTTAACAAACTAGGATATGAAGGCAAGGAATTCTCACTTAAGCCTACTAGGTGCTTTACTTAGTTAAGGAATACTCTACTTAACTAGGTGTTGCCAAATTGCGTGGAAGGATTACTCACTTGACCACTCAATCTCTTCAAGTCCAACTTGGAAACAAAACCGGTTATTTTACAACCAAAATAATCAGTTTATAAGTTCAAGCAAAAGCTTCTTTTTTTCATTCATCATAATCTGTTTTCTTACTACACTTACATAGGCTTAAGTAGGCAATAGAAAACAGCTACACTACACGCATTCAACAAGACTAGGATGCGTTTATTACAACAATCATTGAGGCTTTCTAACTACCCCAAAGGACGCCTAAGTTGAAAAGCTATATTAGGATGCTTAAAGCTTGTTATTAACGTAATTAAAACACTAAAAAAAACTGATTAAGAAGAAGCTAAACAACCATCAAATAAGCAGCCACAAAAACGTGTAACTCCCCCTTGATTTACGCCCTCTTGAATGCTTCAACTTGCTGCCATGTTTATTGCTTGTAACTTGGATTCCTCTTCCCTTTAATCATAAGTAAATGAACCAAGCAAACAGCCACCAACTTAGCAAGAACCGTTGGAATGCATTTGTAACCCCCCCTTGATTCATGCTTCTTTCAGTTACTCTCTTAATGCAGCTCCCTTGAACTCTTCCTTTCCTCACGTCATTCCAAAAGGCCCAAGGCTGTCCCATGCTTCTTTTAATTCGTGTAATGAGCATTTTAACAAGTAAAGTCGTGATTAGCAACACAAAAGGACCATGGGCAGCAAAGGCATCCAATGCTTGGTCTTCAAAAGATTTCGCAAGAACCAACTCATTGGACAAATCGTAACTTGGACTTGAGGGCTGATTATGATTAAGATTGATTGGATTAAAAGACTCCTCATGATTTGCATCATCTTGATTCACATCATTCCATATTATGACTTAGAAGTCTTTTAACCTGGTCCGTTTGATATGTTTTATAACCCGCATTGTATTTGATTAATTCGGATTATTTATTTGGGTGGGCTAAAAATAATTAAAATGGATTATTAAAATGATTTTAACCTAAATTAATTACTTAATTTAAATGAAAACACTCATAAAATTTCCGTGTCTACAGTCACATGAGATGGTTTTTTTACTAAGTTGTCTCTTGAGGTTAGTTTTTTTTTACTAAATTGTCGCTAGGGATCTTTCTTATTTACCAATCTGATCAATTGGCCGATTCCAACTTATCAAGTACATCTCTACTATTGTAGGCCTGTACATGTATAAAGTTTGTTGATTTATTCACTTTGATATTATGATCGTCATATATAATGTTAAAATCTCTTATATTTTGCCCCATAGTATAATGTTACTTTATTAAGTTTTGGTTGGAAAAAAGTGATGAGAGAGAAAAATAGTGGGGTTAATGGGTGGTTGTGAGAGTAGAAATGTGGACTCATATGTCCAAAATAGAACGGAGCAAAATTAAAGGGACATACTAAAAGGGAAATTAGGGCAAAATATTGGGGACAGAGGGAGTAGATGCTAACATTTGAGGATTGCAATTTGCAATATACAATGTATATAGAGTGAATTTGGATGTAAACATTCATAAGACTAGGAGACAATTTGTACTAGTACATTTAATTAAGATGAACTCAGTTGTCTTCATTTCTACACTACATTCCATACTTGATTAATTATACAAACACAATTGACAATACGTAATATGATCCAAAGTATGAAGATCGTTCTATATTGCATAAGATAATTTTTTACTTCTACACAAAATATACGCTTATAATGTTTTTTTTTTATTTATTTTATGAATAAAGACTGATTCATAAATAAAAAGTCATACGATATCTACAAAGAGATTTAAATTAATAAATACATGACAATTAATCAAATAAGAACATCCTTTCAGCAGAGTTACAATCGTTGTTGCAAATCGTACATTCTTCATACCCTCTTTCATATCGCTGTGGTTACAACCTTATCCGTCAAGATGGTCTATCGATTTGTTGTAGTTGTGAAGAAAATTTTCGTCTGATTCATCTGATTGTAATCGAAGGATTAATCTCTTTCTCGATCCCGCACAAATCTTTACCCATGAAACAACTTGTACAATACTAAACTCAAAAAACAAAAACAAAACTAGAACAAAACCCACCATAGGGGCACTTACTACACTCAAACCCACTATAAGGGTACTTACTACCTTTAAACAGTGTAGATTTATTGAATGCAATAACAAAAACACAAAGAAAGTAAAGGGAAATGGTTGAAAATAGCCAAATTTCAGAAGAAATTTGACTATTTTTGGCCTATGAAACTCTTTTTTTTGAAGAACCCTAGAGAGTAAAAAGTAGACAGGAGATGGCTAGGGTTTTTATTACGCCAATGTTTGTTGATCTTACACACCTTATTTTTTTTCCTATCACAGTATGTAAATTGTTAGAGACCGAACAAATATTCAATGAAAAATGACTAATTGCAAAGTCTATCAGTAATACTAATTCAACAAATAGAAAAATCACATCCAGGCTACTGATCAATTATGCTTGGATATTAATTTTGATGCAATCATTAATCTTGTCGTTTTTGCAATCAAGGCACGCTGAGTCTATGATGTGGCCAAAGGCGCTCTATTGACTCCACGAAATAGCCATGGGATTGACGATTGTCGAGCTCAATTCCAGACCACCATCAACACTATAACCAACACAGCGCCTTCCAAATGCTAACATAATAGGACCCAACTTGCTACAAGCAGTTTACTTGTTCTGAAACTACACATGAAACTTCATCAAATCTATTAGACAAATCATGAAATTAATACTCGTTAATCAAATTATAGCAACCCTAATTGTATTCATTTTCATAACCATTAATTTCTAACATGATTAATTATTTTTCCATATTAGGTAACATGATTAGTTATTTTTCCATATTAGGTAGAGAAATATAAAATTGAAAGTTCACAATCGACCCAAACAAAACCTTCTAGGGCCTATCCACCTTATTTTATTACTACCGTATGTGGGTTGTAAAATAGTGGACAAATCTATACCCCATCTGTTCCAGAATACATGACACAGACAACATTGCACACATGTCAATGCACTAGTTTGACTTTATTTTTATATAATTAATTGTTAATGAAAATTATTTTAAATTATGAACTTTATATTAATACCTATCTAACAACACAACTTATGATAAAAATATGTTTTATTATGTTAGTAAAAAATTATGGTCAAAGTTAATGTATGAAAAGTGAGAAAAGTCCAACGTCTCATGTATTATGGGACGGAAGGAGTACTATATTGGCGTTTCTAAACAAGATTAGGTGCCACATGGCACTCTCCTCATTTAATCGAGTTTTTTACTCCACATGTTTAAGTCACGTGGCACTCCCTTATTTAATTCGATTTTCACTCTATGTTTGAAATTATGGTTTATTTACAAGATTTGACCCACAACCTAAAGTTTAAAGGTCTAACATCTTAGCCAGCTATTACTATATTACATGCCATTAAATAAAAATTAATAAGGATTTTTATCAATGGAAATAATGCCGAAAACTCGGGGCATCGCCCTGACCTAAAAACTAGTATACAATGAAAAATGACTAATTATGAAGTCTATCATAAATAAACCTATTCAACAATGGAAAATCACATTAAAGGCATACATCAATGAGGCTAGGCTTTTACTCTCGATGCATGCAATTAATAATTAATCTTGAAGTTTTACAGTCAAGGCAATCAAGACAAATATAGTCTTTTCCGTCGCCGATACAACTCTATTTCACAAAATTTCCATAGAGTAATGATTATCATCTTACCAAACTCAACTCCAAGCCATCATCGACATTATGATCAACACAACATCTCAAAACACTAACGTATAAGAACCGCAACCTGCCATAATTTGGTTACTGTACTTGAAACTAAACCTTCATAAAATCTAATCGCAATAGCTTGAATAGTATTAATTTTCATACCCATTGATTCCCATTTCCCAACATGATGAATTAATTACTTTTAATTATTTATTTAATTACTCTTCCATAATAATTAGCACAATCTCAATTCACAAATGGAAAATGAGGAGGTAGAACAATCTTAAGAAATCGATGAAAGTTCACAATTGGCCCAAAAACAAAGCCTTCAATAGCCCAAGTAATACACAATTCGCTCATCTTCGCCATTTGGAAAGAGCACCATCATTTTACTTTTTTCGCTGACAAGAAATTAACCGGAAAAAAAACGCCCAAATTCACCATCTTTTTCATCTCACCTTTCTCTCTCCTCTTGCCTTCACTCTCCTCAAACCCTAGTTCTGCTGAACAGGTAAATTATCCCAAATTAACTATGTTTGCGAATTAATTTGAAGCTTTTAAAGAAGCAATTTGATTTCGAATTCATACTTCAAGTAGAGGAACTGATCTTTTGAATTTATTGGAATTTTTCGGCTTCGACCTGTAAGATTTTCTTACATTTAGCTGTTTTGCGATTTCTCTCTCTTTTTCTTGTATTTTGTGCTATAATCTTGTTGAATTTTGATTTTGTTTCAAATTTTGTTTTCTTTGGTGGTCTTACATTTCGATTTTGTTTAGTGTCTTCTTTTAATGGAGTTGATGCATGTTACTCTTTCATGAAACGGTTTTTAATGTCATTTGATTTTTCATTTTCATTTGATTTTTCTTTTTATATTTTGTTTGTGAATGGTGTTGCTTCAATGTACGTTGTTGATGATATATCAATTGAAATGGTGCTGGTCACTTCAATTTTTTTGCTTAGTAGTCTCACGTTTGGTTGTTTTAGTAATATTACTCGTTTAGAGAGAGAGAGACTGAGGCGAATGTTCGATTCGTTTAAAAGAACGGAACACTCAAGGTTGGCAGGGAGCTTGGATTTATTGTTACATGTATAAAAAAGAAAGGTATTGTATGGAGGAAGTAGAGAGGCTGATGGGATTGAGGGAGAGGATAAATTATCCATGAAGGATTCACCTTGAAGTTCATTTTTGGATACTCAAAATAGTAACTTTGTTCTTTTCTGGGACAAAGGGATTGGTATATAACCTGTAACTCAAGAATTTTAGCTGGTGGGTTTGTTTTAAAAATTGTGATCTGTATTGATAACTTTGGTGCAATAACAGGAAGACTTTTTTAGTTAGTTTTATTTTTATTTGAGTGTTGTACATGCATCGGCTTGTTTTGTTTGTTCAATTTGGTAGAGGTGTCATCATGTGATGTCTATGATAGTATGATCCCATTATATGATTTGTTACGGGCCCGCTAAAGATCCCAAAATTCCGAATTTTCAGTTGCAGGGCAGCTGATTCAAGTCAGTTACGTGCCTCGGACATTTGCAAGTTTATGCATTTATTACAATCTTATTATAGTAGTTGGTGATGCCATGCTTGTAATGGGGATTGGATTTTGCATTCAGCTTCACCGTTATTCATTTATAAATAAAGGCTTGACCTCGAATTTAATTTGAATGCATAGCAGGTAATCCAGGTATTGTTGTGGAGTTTGATAAGGTCAATGGGTTTTGACAATGATTGCATTTTAAATATTCAATCACTTGCTGGAGAGTACTTCTGTCCTGTGTGTCACCTTCTTGTCTACCCGAATGAGGCTTTGCAGGCGCCATGCACTCACCTTTACTGCAAACCTTGTCTGACTTATGTTGTCAGCACTACACATGCTTGTCCTTATGATGGATACAGGGTGACTGAAGCCGATTGCAAGGTGTTATGCCTTTATTATCTTAATCACAGTTGGTTTCTGACTGGTTGTATGGAGAATCTGAAGTGTTCTTATTGTGGATTTTTTTCTTCTTTTGTCACAGCCACTCCTGGAGTCAAATAAAACATTGGCAGACACAATTGGAAAAATACAAGTCCATTGCCTCTACTACAGGACTGGATGTACATGGCAAGGTCCTCTGTCTGACTGCATATCTCATTGTTCAACATGTTCATTTGGGGAGTCGCCAGTTCTATGCAACAGGTGTGGAGTTCAGATTGTGCACCGCCAAGTGCAAGAGCATGCACAAAGCTGCCCTGTAAGTTGAAATGTATTTACTGCTCTGTTCTATTTTGTACCAGTGGTCTTTGTCCTATTGACTTATATTTTTATTTAAAATCTGACTCTAAACTGCACGGAATCAGGGTGTGCAGCAGGCGCAACAACCAAGTACCGCTCAGGATGGCACATCCACAGGGGCTGTAGCAGATCAAACCCAGACTGCAGCTCAGGCTGTCTTACCTGCTTCTCAAGCTCAGACATCACAAGCTTCTGCTTCGCTTGCATCTGGTCAAGATAACCAAACAGCAAGTACAGCTGGTCAACCACAGGCTGCGCAAGCTGCCATGCCAACTGCTGAGCAATGGTATCAGCAACAGCAACAGTACCAGCAGCAATACCAGCAGTATTATCAGCATTATCCTGGATATGATCCTTACCAACAGAACTATCAATATTATTATCAATATCAACAAGGAGCTCAACAGTATCCGCAGCAACCCTCGCAAGGTTATCCTCCTCAAGCATATGGTCAAGCTCAGGCTCAACCCCAACTTCAAGCTCAGCAGCAGGCTCAGCCTCATGCTCAGCCCCAGCCACAACAACAGCCCCAGCCACAACAGCAGCCCCAGCCACAACAACAGCCCCAAGCTCCATCCCGAATTGCGCAGCCTTCAGTGCAGACAAATTTCCAACCATCAGTCAATGTACAGTCCCAAGTCCAGCCAGTGGGTCAAGCGCAACCTCAAATGCAGGCTCAGGGTCAAGCACCTCCATCTCATCCCCTTCCATATAATCAGTCTCAGCCATTACCCCAGGCTCAACCTTATGTTCAGCCACAACCCATTACTCAGCAGCAGACACCAGTGCCTCAGTACCAGCAAACTCATCCTCATGCCCAATCTTATCCACCGTTACAAACTCAAACCCAGCATTACCCCTACACACAGCCACAGCCTCAGCCTCATTCTCAACCGATTATGCAGGCACCTGCCCACCCACCTTCTCAACAAAACCAGCCTATGAATCCCAATTCCCAGCCTCAGACTCAGAGTGCTGTAACTGGTTACCAATCATATCCGCAGCCACAGCCTCATCCGCAAGCACAGGTGGGAGTTGCTCATCCAATGCATGCATCTGGTGCCCAGCCACAGCCTCAGTTCCCTGGGCAAATACAGGGGAAGGTTCCTTCACAACCTTCTCAGATGTATTCTTCTCAACCTTATTCTAATGTGGCAGCACAACAACAGCCAACTATGTCATCTGCACAAGTTCAGCCTCCAAGCGGGCCTCCGTCACAACAGCTCCCTGTTTATCCTCATTCCCAGCAGCCTGGATATCCGTTTCAGCATCGTCCTGGTGTGCAGGCTGCACAGCAAGCTGCTCCACAGCAGTTTGGGCAACAACAGTCGTTTCCTGGCCATGGTCCGTTTACACAGCCACAGCCACAGCCACAGCCACAGCCACCTATGGCAGGTCAATTACATGCTCAGGGCCCTCCTCAAATGCTGCAACACTCTCAGCCAAATTATGCACCAGGGTATATTGCTCAAAACTATGCAGCTAGACCAGTGGCCACACAAGGAGCTGGATCACAACCACATCTCCAGGCTGCTGGTGCTGGTCAGGTTAGGCCTCCACAGCTAAATCAGGCTTATTCTCTGAGAACAGACAGTCAGCTATCTACTGCCTCTGAACATAAGGCTGGTCATCCTCAACAATTTCTGAAAGCAATGGGGGGTGAGAAGCCTCGTGATCAAAATGATCCTAACAAGGAGTCTGGTGCAGGGGTTCAGGTGATTGAAAATAAATTAAAATCAGAAAATGCCCTGGATGGTAACGGGAACGAGAATGAAAGTAAATTAGCTGCTACAGGGTCCAATTTATTGGGAAGTGATAATCAAGAACACAAACAAAGGATGAAGGGAGAAGCTTCAGAGGATGCATCAGAATTCTCAAATGGTAATAACACAACTAATATTGGTTCTGATGCCCATAAAGATGCCCGAAAGAAGGCTGAAGTACAGGACTCAAAGCATGCAGCCAAAAGTGCAGGAGGTGCAGCTGCTCCTGTCTCCAATATGCCTCATTCACATTTAAACCCGCAAGTTCATGGCACTAATTCATTTCCTGCCGTTGACCAGGGAACAAATCAAATGCAGTCAATGCAGTATGGGCCTTCAGGCCAACACAGACCTGGTGCTGTGTCTATGTCTCAGTCAACACCTCTTTCAATCCCTCAGCAGCCTGGGTTGGGTTCTCTTCCTGGTCAATTAAGGCCTCAAGGACCTGGACAAGCTCCCCCTAGACCGCCGTTCAATGCAGCTGATATTCCCCAGACATCTATTCCTAAGCATCCTCATGGTCTTACCCCTCATGAAATTGCATCCGGAGGAAATCTGGGCCCTGCCTCATCAGGACCCTTTGCTAGACCTGGCAATATGGGTTATCATCAAGGTAATATGCCACCTTACCAAGCTGGACAACCTCATAATCTTCCAGGGGAACCTTTTGTTGGTGTAGGGAGTAGAGAACGTGCTGATGCTGAGCAGCGTCCTCCATATATGATGGAAAATGAAAAGTTTCAGGCTCACAGGCCTGGCTACTTTGATGGTAGAAAGCCGGATTCCCTCCCTCATGGATCCATGGATCGAGCTCCTTATGGGCCCGCTCATCCTGGGATCCAGCCTGGAGCTATGAAATTTCCTGAGGAGCGTGGTATGAGGGATGAAAGGGGTAAGATGTTTCCTGAGGAGCGTTCGAAACCCTTTCCTCACAGGGACTTTGAAGACGATTCGAGGAAATTCCCAAGACCTGCTCATTTTGAAGCTGGGCCTTCATCTAAATATGGTACCCATTTGCCGTCATCTAGACCACTTGATCATGGTTCTCATATGTTTGGTGGAGATGGAATGCCGAGACCCTTTGACAAGGCGCCACATGGACTCAATCCTGATTCTGGACTGAAAAGGGATTCTGGTGTTGGTTCTGGTCCTTCAAGATTTCTGCCTCCATTCCATCTTAATGATGCTGGTGAAAGGAGCAGAGGTGCAGGGTTTCCTGATGATGACATGGGGAGAGGGGATTTTGGGCACCGTCCTGATTTTCCTGGACCAGCTCCTGGTCCTGGATTTGGACAGCCCCGAATAGATGGTTTTCCGCCTAGAAGTCCAAGTAGGGACTTTCCAGGTTTTCCTTCTCGTACATTTGGAGCCTTTGGGGATGATGTGGGAAACGAAACGCGACCTTTTGAAGGTTCCAGACCCTACAATTTTCCTGCTGAACCATTTGGGAAATCAATGCACGAGAACAGGTTTCCAATTCCACCAAATCATGTACAAAGAGGTGAGTTAAGTGATCATTTGACTGGTGGCCCACGTAATCCAGATATGTTGGCTAATCATTTACGAAGAGAACATATGGGTCCTCGAAATATGCATATGGGAGAAGGGACTGCTTTTGGACTCCCTGGGGGTCATTCACGGATGGGAGAACCTCCTCTGGCAGGGAATTTTCCACGTCATTTACCCTTTGGTGAATCCTTTGGAGGTGAAAAGCCAGGGCACCCTTTGGCAGGAGAGCATGGATTCAGGGGCAGCTCTGGTTTTAATCGTTATGCACGTGATGGTGGATTATTTCCAGTAAGTACTTGTTTGTGTTGCTATTGTTGGCTATAGAAGATTGTTTCCCAGGTGTTTATTTTCTTTTGATATCTGATTTTTCTGGTGATTTTTTCCAGGAGGAGATGGAGCCTTTTGATAACCCAAGAAAGCGGAAACCTGGAAGCATCATGTGCCGTATTTGTAAAGTGGAGTGTGGAACCGTGGAAGGCTTGGACTTGCATTCACAATCAAGAGAGCATCAGAGGAAGGCTAGGGATATGGTCTTAAGCATCAAGCAGTCAAATAAGAAGAAACAGAAGTAAGTCTATTTAGAAGTTGTCGTATACTGCATATGCTTCCCTAAATTACCTTTTACGTGTCGCTGTTTTTATGGTTTAGGTGGTGGTTGTTTAGTGGGTAGGATGTTGAGAATTGAGAAGGGGAGGCTGTAGTTCTTGTTGTAAGGCATAATTTGTTGGTTGTCTTTGTTGCTTAGGTTATCAAAAGATCAAGGTTCAATTGAAGGAAGAGATGCAGGCAGGCCAAAGAATTTCAGTTTTCAGGGTCGAGGAAATAAGCGTTAAAGACTTGATGGCTGTTTTGGCTGACAAGCAATCCAGTGGTTTTGTAGCTGACAGACTGCATTTGTTCCTTCAGTATTTTGCATTTAGTGAAGTAGGTGATGCAGCTTTCTGTATCTCTTTCTTTTGCTGGTTGGTTTATGCCAGTTTTGTCATTTCAGGTTGCTGCTATGTTAGTGGAGATGGTATTTTGGGACTGAAGTATCAGTGGCAGTTAAGTTACTTTGTTTGACTTTGTGCTAAATATTTTGGAGATTGAATATGTTTAGCGTGAATGTATACTTGCCCCTTGTTTAAGTGGTAATTTCTATCTCTTCACTAATATAGTATATGTATCTTCAGTGCAATCATGTGACATGTGGCTAATTCTATAATTATAGTTTGTTAGTTTATCAGAAAAAGTGTGGTTATCGGAAGTGAATTATTTCTTACGTCGTAGTCTTCTTTGCTTCTTTTTTTCCTCTCCTTCAGTTTTCTTCTTACTCTGTCTACAAATTTGTTCATATAATCCTTTCGCTGTCAATCTCCTCCCACTTCTTCAAAAAAGTTTAGTTTGCGTAAGATGATTTCACCCGCAGGCTTTCAAGTATCCACCACTGCCTAATGGGTAATCATTGTCAGATTGTGTGACCACATTTTTATCGTCTGTTGTACATTCCATTCTCCACTTAGCCCGAAAACAGTTTGCCTTTGTTGCCTATAAGTGAAGTTCATGACATTTTGACAGCAACTATCTTCTTTTCCTTCTTAAAAATTTTCTGATTGTGTAATTTGTGGCCTATAGCAATTGATGAATGGGATAAAGCATGGTGTTTTTGAAAAGAGAGGATGAGGGAAATACAGTTGAAACTTTGGGGAGATACTGTGTGTGGGCTTCTTGTCATCCCAACATTTCGCTATTTTGATATTTGTCTTAAGTTGTAGCTTTTGGAGGTTCGATGATTAATGTATAAATTATTTCTTTTTGTAGGTTTTAATGTCCTAGAATTTTATAATGACATTATGTCTGTAGATGAGCTGCACGAAATGTACTTTTGATGCTTAAAGCTGGGTTTAGCTAAATAGATTGACTTATTTCCTTGGGATTTGTGCCACAAGTCTTGATATGCTTGTACACTCTGGTTTATTTGAGTTACAACATATCTGTTTAGGCAAAGACGTTGTGGCTGATCAGCATTTGAGACCATAGGCTGATTTTCAGTGTGCCTTAATTTTTGAATCTAAATATAGTTCAAAGCTAGATGTTTGAAGCCTACATGATGATAGTGTGTGCCTACGTTCACTGATATTCCAAGAAGTTTAGTACGTTTGTGGGAAAGTTTTGGGGTGGCTGAGCTGCTGATGCTTGATATGTTAATCGTAATGCTGTTCAAATGTTTGTAGCGATCCTGTCTATTTGGTTCAATGGTGTTTGGGACGGTAGTATTAATTTTGGGTTAGTAACTATTTAAAGAAGCTATGTAAGTCTGGGTGCATATTACAACAGAAAGTCAATGATGTCCTTTCAGGATCTTGCTGTGGAAAATTATGTTTGAATCTTGTTGAAGGATCCACTTTGTTTTTAAGCTGTGGTTTTTTTAACAAAGTAGTTCAATCATGAGGTTTTTGACAATGGGAGCTTTTAAAAGACAGTCTTGATTTTATGTGAGGATATATGTTTTTTGATTTTTGATGTTTTTCATAAAAAAATTACTCAAACAATTCTTTATGAGCTCCTTTTTGGGTTATTTATTGTCAGCATGAGCATTGTGTAGCGTTGACATATTCTCTTCTCTTTTGGATTTGTATCCAATCTTAAATTTTGATGTCCATTCTTTTGAGCCCTATCTTCTTTGGCTAAACTTTCCTATCATCTTGCTACATTGCTGTCTTCAACATTTCTTTGGCCACAAGTTTCACATCACTTAATAGATTTTTAAATAAAGTTTTATTTGTTTTTGGTTGCTTACATTTCTTGGGGAGAATTTGTCATATAACTGAGATTGGGTTTTTGCTCACTTCGCTTCCATTAATGATACACACTCAAAATCTGTGGGAAAATGAAAATTGGAGAACGCGCAAAGTTTAACTGCAGAATTTTTATAAAAGTCAAGGTTTTTATTTATTTGTTCACTGACAAATTGTGCTTTAATCAGCTCATAAAGTCAGAAAAGTATGTCTGAATTGATATGACAAATTGTAATTTTAGCTTGCATTTCTGCATTGTTATGTAGTATGATTTTCTGAACTTTGAGAAAACTATATTATTATAACTAGTTATTTTTTATAAAAATATTCTTTTGGCCAGGTTGAAATACACATGTAAAATATATCTTATGAAAGGTGCAGTCTGGATAATTATTCAAATCCCGAGTAGGTACCTCTATTTTTTATACTGTAGGGTCTGACTTGATTATTAAGGGTAACATGTTGGTGTGGTTTAGGGTGTGGTTGGTTTTCTATGAAAGGATGAGAAAATGGTGATATAATTTTGATTATAACATTGGAATTGGATTGAGAGATGAAAGTGTTGAGCGATAGAGAGAGAAAAATGAAGGTTGGAAGCTGCTAATTTGCTTTTCCCCGACCAAAGGTTGAATAAAATGATTGGGTCGTCTTTCTAAAGGAAGGCTTTTGATCTTCGTTGATGCGATATTTATTCATGGGCTGTGTCATTTCCTATAATAGCTTGGCTGATGAGGATGGGTTTTTATTTTTAGTATTAAAAATATGGTCTCTATACCATTCTATTCCTTTGTATTGGATAAATATGTATTCATTTCCTTCAGTGAAGCTAAAAACTACTTCCTCCGCTCCACAAATGTTGCAACAACTACCATTTTAAAAAGTTTCACAAATATTGCAACAACTATCATTTTAGGAAGTTTCACAAATATTGCAACATGTCCTTTATTTGCACATGTGTTCTCTCTTTCTCTCTCCTCATCACATGGGCCCCTCTCTTTATTCCGCTCTATCTCTTTCCTCTTCTTAAAATCCGTGTCCTCTCCCCCATGTTGCAACATTAAGGGAACAGAGGAAGTATGTTTTTCCGAGCAACTAGAAGATTTATTTAATTTTATTCTTAATTTTGGGTTTTATCTAGGACTGTGAAGGTTGGATAACAAAGTGCAAACTGCAGAGCAGGTGTGACTCTGGGAAAAAGGCAAATAGTTGTTAAATGGAATTGGTTTCTCGTCTTTTAGTTGGAGGTTTATTACTTTTGAGAAATATACTAGAACTATGTATTTTGTTTTATGAAAGCTTGGAGGGTTAAATATATGAGGTGCTGTGAATTTGTGACAGAAAGCAGGTTTTTTTATTTTTTTTGTTCCTGAAAACAACAACAGAAATCAGGTTTTTTTAACTTTTAAAAAAGCATCATCTTTTTTTTTTTTTTTTTTTTTTTTTTCCTCCTGTGTAGGAGATTTATTTGCTTGTTTGTAAAATTTTCTTTTATTTTGTTTACTAAACAAAAATTAAGCTGGAAATTTGTTTTTGTTATACAGAGCCTGAAGATACAAACTTACTATTTGATTGTATAAAAATTAGAATTGATATTCTGGGAGGATTGATGATATAGGGGACATGATAGAGTTGGACACTTATAGTTCGCGATTATAAAGTTATGGAGTTGTTTTGTGAGTGGGGAAATATCAGATTGGCAGAAGTGAGCAATTACAGTGAGTGTATATGCAGTGAAATTCTGGTGATTGGAGAAACTGCTATGGGATTGAATGCATTAAAAATACAATTGCTGCTACATTGGCTCATACTTTTGATTTGACAAGACGAAGTGGGATGCTCCCTTTTTTTAAGAGGAATGTAATCATCTCTTGTTGCTTCCTGCAAATACGAGTAAATCCCAAATGTTCTTTGGTGGGAACACGATACAAACCTAAAATCTTACTTGGCTTCTTCCCTTATCTGACTTGCGTTTGTGTATTCAGGAACAGTGCATTCCACAAAGTAGTTGGCTCCCTTTGTTGGACCAGTTTAGGATATGGAAAATTAGAAGTGGAACATATACAAATGGCGTATGCTGATTAGGATGGAACATGTAACATATTTAGTTGCTTAAATGAAACTTAAATGAGTACTTTCAGTTTTGATTAAGGTTTCACTTTCTGAAACCTGTTTATATATAATTAGGATACTATTTTATTTTTCAGTTTGTTAATTCTTGGAAGGAGGCCTTAATTTTGTCATTACAGAAATCTCTTTCATATCAGTTTTAATTTTCCATTTGACATTATAGGTTTTATAATCCCGTTGTAGCAATTTACATTTTATGAGGCCAGTGCTTAAGTTGATTTATTCTTTCTGGCTGAATTTTTTCCTACCATAGATAATTTCCACTGAATCCGTCTTTTTCGGCGATGCTGACATGGAAAGGCTGAAAAGCAGAGTGGTTTACCTTGCAGTCGTCTTTAGAGTGTGGTAAGATCATGTCCAAATCAAAGGTTTTTATGGGAAAATTTCTGCTTATTTATTTTACACATTGTTTTCTGCTGTTTTATGACTTTTATCTAAGGTTTATAGTTAATCTTCATTTATCCTGTAATTTTGTTGGAATGTCTGAATTTTAGGTAGCTTAACTTTAGACTTTCAGATACTGCTCTATAAATTCAAGTTCAGTATTTTTGGCATCTGACTCATAATTTCATCAATATGATTGTTATTGGGTGGGACACTAAAAAAAAGTGGTCATACGAAGGGCTCTTAATTAGTTTGGGGATCTATTTTCAAAATGTTTACTATGGAATATTAGTTGTAACGTTTTGAGAATACCCCATTAATTTAATTTTCCCACTTTTTGTCTAGGTGTGTTCGTTATTGATATTCCTACTTTGTTATATTCGTTTAAAATTCTCTCTCTCTCTCTCAATTTATTTTTTTATTAACCTTCTTGTACCCCATCACATTGGTCCACTTTCTGGTTTATAAAATTTTGGTCTCTAAACAACCTTCTCTTTCCTACCCAAAAACTCAAAAAAATGACCCACTTTTCGCACTTTTTTCCCTTGGTTTATGTTGCTACACTAAATAGGAAAATAAAGTAATGGATTGGCTATGTAGAAGTTATGTGTTTTCTCTTGCTGAACTAAATAGGAAAATAAAGTATAAGAACAGAGGAAGTAATGGATTGGCTATACAGAAGTTATGTGTTTTCTCTTGTACTGAACTTAACAATAGAACCATAGTTTGATGAAGATTTAGTGTAGTTGATATGGCTGTTTCATCCTTTTCTTGATTGGTGGAGATTTGAGGTGTTCTTTTGTGTTATGTAACTTCAATCTCAGTTAAGGTCTGTCTTTCTTTTGCAAGAGCATGCGCCCTTTTTGGTCCATTAAATATTCCCACTTTA